TACTGAAATGATACTTAATGTAATGCGATATGATATGATTCTAAATAAATATGCATCTGAATCAAAAATATTCATTTTAAAGAGTCCTGTACTGAATGAGTGTCCAGCAAGCACAGGACGGTAAGCGGCTTTCCCCTGAGTGAATTAGCATTTAATACACTCTGACACCATTCACATACCATTGAATCCCACCCATACTGCAGAGTTACCTTTATCCTGATGAAAAAAGATGGATAATACTCTCCCCTCTGCTTTTTCTCGCTCCCTTTATCTTTATCTCCCTCTGTCCGGTACCCTTTTATTATATCTAAACTGTCCCAGGATGGAATTAAAGTGGGAATTGGAGTGGACAGCAGTGCCTTCAGAAGATCTTGGAGATGCTTGACATTGAGAGGATTAATTTCAATGTGGTCTTGAAAATCTTCTTTCTCAAGAAAATATTTATGTGCCATTGGGTTCAACTTAGTCTGTTAGTCATGGGATAATCAGAGGGTTGGGAATCCTTTAAGGAATGAAACTAATAGGAAATATAGACAAAAAAAAATTTGATATCAATAGGTTCACTTTGGGAACTGCAATATTCACATATGAAATTGAATATTGGGTCAAGAGGGCAGTGTCAGGTACTTGCATGAACCCGTGCAAACCCAGAAAAAAGACAATTAAGGTTAACATAATTAGATACTGCAGCAACAGGAATAGTCAGTCAGTAATAATAATGTGAACAGACATTTTATCAAGATCGAACTGTATGAACTGAGTTTAGCCACAACTTAGCTACTTGTGATTTTTTTCTGTTTGTTCAGTTCTTACATGCAGTGTAAAGGTAGGTGGGAAATATTTTACGTTCGATGAAAGCTAAAATAAAATAAATAAAATTACATAAATACTATTATTAAAATATATTTACTGTATTTTTTTCTTTATGCTGTACAAACAACATTATGCAAAACTAAAACATAGGGTGTGTTCACACTTGTAGTTCGGTTCGCTTGATTCGTTTGGTCCGGACCAAAAAACAACATTAGTCCTGGGACGCTTGATGCCTGCACCGAACTGTGATGGGCAACATCGCCACTATGACAAGAAAAAACAGATATACTTGAGCATTCTGTCCTTTCTAGGTTGCATCTTGTGACATCATGTCTCATTTTTGGTTCGTAAACATGTCTTTGGTCCCTGTTGCGTTCATATTTCATTCGAACCACACCAGAGTTCGTTTGGAAGCGGACCGAGACCCATCTATTCAGGGTGTGTTCACTTCATATTTGGCATGTTTGGTTCAATTGAAATGAACCCTGGTGCGATTGCTCTAGTGCGGTTCATTAGGGTAAACGCTGCCATCTGAACCCTGGTGCGCACCAAACAAGCGGACCGAGATAGCTGAAAAGATGGGTCTCGGGGTGTGTTCACACTTGTAGTTCGGTTTGCTTGGTTTGTTTGGTGCGGACAAATAATAAAAAAAAGCCTTAAGTCCTGGTCCATAGTGTTCAGGTCGGCATTACAACGAACTAAAGGCATAGGAATATGTTCACAATCTGATTGGTCGGCTTTTATTTTTACGTGACGGAACTTTCTGAACATCCAAAACAATGCTGTATGTTGGGCTAAACACGCCCGTTGTATAGCCTACATATGATGGAATTACCAGTTGAGAACTCGTAAAGAGCTTATAAAATTTGTAAAGGAGTCAAATCAGAGGCTTGAATCGCTCCGTCACACACAAACAAAGATATGCTGCGTTAAGAGGTGGTTCTGATGCCTGTACGGGCAACGCACAGCGAGAAAAAAACTGGCATGAATGAGCTTTCTGTCCTTTTAAGGGTAGAATCTTGGGACACTTCAAATGAACCGCACTAAGGGGGCTTTCACACTGGCAGTTTAGTTCGGAACGGGGCACGGTTCGCATGAAAAATCGCTAATGTGAACGCTGTCATGAGACCCGGGTGCGCACTGGGGTACCGAACCCGAGACTACCTGGAAGAGGTGGTCTGAGTTCGGTTGCTCCCGAACCGTGCCGCGGTTCGCGTGAATGTGAAAGCTTATGTGATGTATTAAGTTAAATAAAACGCTTGTAAGGGATGATAGTGTTGATGATTTACCTTGGATACGAGCGAGAGTGAGCCTGCAGTGTATTCGTGCATTGCGTGTGGAATCAGGGCAACAAAGTTGGAAATCCACTGTCTCCTAAAAAGAGTCCGTTTGCAAGCAGCAGAAGTCCATCTATGTGACACACGCACAGTAAACCTGTAGTGTTCACTCAACTGTGCATAATAGCAGCGAATTAATTAAAAAAAAAAACAATATTGACCCACGTTCTGTTTTCTATCATGTGCAGTGCACGTTTGCGATGACGTCATATGCACGCAAACGCACCAGGGTTCGATAGAATCAAGTTGTGTGTGAAACCAGACCAACGTACGCTGCGGGGGGCGCCGGGAACAAACGCGCTCGGGCTCGGACCGCAGCAAACGAGCCCAGTGTAAAAGCCCCCTCAGAGCAATCGCACCAGGGATTGTTTTAATCGAACCAAGCATGCCAAATGTGAACACACCCTCGGTCCGCTTCCAGACGAACTCTGGTGTGGTTCAAATGAAATATGAAAGCAACACGGACCAAAGACATGTAAACAAACCAAAAATGGGTCAAGATGTCACAAGGCGTGACCTAAAAAGAAAAGAAAGCTCAAACATACCTGTTTTTTCTCGTCATAGTCGCGATCTTGCCCATCACAGTTCAGTACAGGCATCAGAACCGCTTCTTCTCACTGTGTGACAGGGGGATTCTTGCCACTGTTTTGACTCCTTTACACATTTTTAGCTCTTCGCAAGTTCTCAGCTGGTAATACCATCATATGTAGGCTACCCACATACAATGGGAGCGTTTAGCCCAGCACACAGCATTGTTTTGGATGTTTGGTATCCTTATGCCTTTAGGTTCGGTGTCAAAAAATGCCAATCTGAAGTTCGCTAAGCGGACTTTTTGGTCCAGACCAAACGAACCAAGCAAAGTGAACCGAACTACAGGTGTGAACACACAAATAATTTACAAATATAGGCCTGTGTATCGTTTTTAAGGTTTTGTTTTTTAACAATATTCTGAATTCATTTTTATATTTTCAGTTCTCAAAATGTATCTTACATTTATTGAAGTAAAACAATTAAGTTTATGAAGGCCAAAAGTAGCCATGGGGTAGCTTTAATGTTTTTGTGACTAGGCATAGGCTATTTATGCATTAACATGCCCATTGAAGTATAATTGAAAACTCTTACAATGTGAATAAATTCAATGTGTCTGTCACTGTCACTTGCTTAGTGGAGAAGAGGAGAGATGTATCCTCAACTGAACAGAGCTGCTCACTGTTAAACTGAAAAGAGAGAGGAAAAAAAGACATGATTGGTAGGAAAGCAGTTACAAAATTTATGGACATCAAGAACCTGTTGAGAGTGTGTTGACAGTTTGTGTTTTAGGATGGTTGAGCTCAAGAAAATTTAAAACGAGGTGGCTTCGGAAGGGTTATTTGACAGTTGATTAAATAAAAATCAAAGAACCCTAAACTCTTAACCAAAGAGGTTTATAATAGCCTATAAGGAAGAATCTAGTCACAGTTAGCAACTCAGAGCTGAAGCCACCTTTTATTCAACAAGTTCTTTCTCTCTCTCTCTCTCACACCCACTCTGAAAGAATGAATGGAAACAATTAGCTTGAAGAGCAATGACCAGATAAAAGCAACAGACCAGTAACAGAAAACCCTTTACAGTACAAACACAGGAACACTATCCAAACTTGAGCTCTGTTCGGAGCTGACCAGGCTTTGACTGTCCTAATCTGCAGTGTAAATCTGCAGGCACTGCCTGTCTAGTCCCTGTCTGGGTTCCATACTCTCAGACAAAAGCTCCGGACACTTGCCCACTAACAAAGGGGTCGATGCCACTCTCCGCTAATTAAAGCAGACAAGGCTTGCTGATGGGGCCTTTTTGAGCAATTGAACATGGTGAATGCTTCTCCGGGATCTGATGAAACACGGACAGTTGGTTTGACTTCAAAAGCAGACTCCTGCAGCCATTCAGAGGAACATATGATCAAAATGTGTCCGGTTTCTAGGGAATAAAATGTATTTGAATGCTGGATAAAAGCAACTGCATGCCAAATGAATTAATTTAAATAAAAAACACAATCTGTCATGACTTGGCTGGTCAATAGACCCTGCAAAAATACAATTTAGACTAACAGGAACATTATCAGAACTTATCTAACGTTCTGGCAAGGTTCTTCCAGTTAATATGTTTTTTCCCCCCAAAGTTATCTGTTCTTTAATAACATTATAAAAAAGTGATCGTGTCTCTTCAGAAAATTTGGAATAAACCACTCATGGATTAGTTTTACAATCTCTAGTTTTAAAAATATCTTCATTTGTGTTCCGAAGATAAACAAAGTCTTAGGGGTTTGGAACGACATGAGAGTGAGTAAATGATGACAGAATGTACATTTTTTGGTGGGACTACTAGCCTATCCCTTTAATGAATTATGTTGCCACTAGGGGGCGCCAACGCCATATATAACAAATAATGTGTGCTGTAAATGCTGTATCTTCCCATATAATAGCTTTCCAGAGTTGGCTCAAACAGCTGTTAATTTTTAACGATACGTTTACATTAAAATATAATCCTGACTTTATTAAAAAGCAGTCCGACACTATTAGATGGGTTCTCTTCATGAAGTTTGTCCCTCATGTCACTCTGTACTTTGTTGTCCATAGCAACTGCGGTGGACGCTAAACTACAAACATGAGGAAAACAGAGAAACAGGTGCTGTGTAACACACAGTCAGGAAAATAAAGTGTTTGTTAAATACTTACGAGATCCTTGTCAATCATCATTATTAGTGTTGAATGCTGTTGTTAAGATTTTACAATTATATAGTTTACTTTAACTACAAATCTGCGCGTTTGCTGTTGCTTCGTGATACACTCGATATAGGGACTCCACCATAGCCTAGTAATGGATAACATCGAACAGGCAATAGATGAGGAGTTGTTGAAATTGAACCTCGATCCTTCTGAAAATTATTCAGAGTCAGAAGATGACATCTTTACAGTTTTGGATGGAAATGTAAGTGGCTTTTTTTTTGTAATTCAGTTCTTAAACCTCTAACTTACTTATTTTGAATTTAGTCGACTTTCCAACATTGTAGGCTATTATAACCCACTTTATTATGAAAACTTTATTTGATAATTTAAAGTTATATTTAATTTATATTATATTTAATCTTTACTGGTGAAGAAAACAATTATGGGTTAAAACAAACATAACATTTACATCGAGTATGGTAATCTATTCCACTTTTGTGACATTAAGAAGTTATAATTTATAATTCACGTAGTTCATCCAAAAAGACGTTTACTCTACCTGTCCTTTCATCACTGTCAATAACCTGTTTTCACAGAAGCTAACGTTACATGCAGAAGATAGGCTGCCTGACTCAGTACTCGCATATGTTGAAGCTTCAAGAAATCGAATGAGTGCCTTTGAACAATTAATCCTTGAAGATGTTGAAGAAAAGGGTGAGAGTGAGAAGCATTTTAAAAGATCAGATTGAAATTCTGAATGAAAACAGTTTAAAGATTATATTATAGACCGCTTACTTGAGGTATTGCAGTGTTTTTCCCTTTTCTGGTTCCCCACAGATTTGTCAAGCCAAGAGCAGTCTCACCTTAATCACAAAGATAATCCTACAACTGAACCAGCTTCAGATTGTATAGAAGACCCCATAAAGTGGAAAAATAAAGTGAGTCATGGTTATTTGTTTGTGGTTAAATGGAAATGGGATTATTATCCCTCTGAGTCATCGCAGAGGAAAGGAGTGTCTGTGTTTTGTCCTTAACTTAATCTTTAATTCAGTTTGTCCCTCACAGTAGCAAATGATCTGTTACATATCCCAGTTTTGTTTATGTTCAGTCAATATGAATTTAGGCTGTACATTCTGAGAAATGACCCTTGTTTATCCTCAGACATGCAGCATACTGATGATGTACAAACATACATCAGATGATGTATTGCATAGATCCTATTTTGTTAGTTCATGAATATTATAAAAATGCACATGTTTTTGTCAGGTAATCTCTGAATTAGAGGAACAAGTTGGACTTCTAAAAGACGTTGAGCCACAGAATGCCCAGCAGGAGATTCCAAATATGTCATGGATGGAAGGTACATTTTCTGTAATGATGTGGTTAGATGGGCCTGTATTTTAAGTTTATTAACACGCTAGTAAAAAACTAGGTTAACACTGCTGTTAAATCTGCACACATATCTTCAATGGTTTTGTAGATTGCTTATTATCTCTTTATATTCACCGAATTGTACCTTTACTCTGTTTTTAGATGTAAGTGAGTGTGATACATTGACTGAGATTGAATTGCAACTTAGTCTTGAGTGGAAAGAATTAGAGAAAAGACTCAAAGAGGAAGAGGAGCAGAAATTAGCTGCTCAGGAGGTAGAAAGACTGCTGCATTTGAACTCGGAAAGAGAAGAAGAAGAGAGGAGGAGGAGAAGACTGATGGAGTTTGAGGAGGAGCTGAGGAAGATAGAGGAGGCCACTCAGGTAGGACTGTCTAACACTTTTTTTTTAATAATCTTTTTAAAATTAGGAGAAAAGTTGATTGAATAACAAAATCTAAATTCTGTATGCCAATAACAGTTTCAAAAACCTGGAGTTAAAAACGAAGTTAACCACACAGAAGATCTTCAACTGCAAATGGATAAACATCAGGTGAGTTTAATATGCCTAAAATTGTTGAAGATGCTATTTAATAAATGAATAAATAAAATAAAATAATAAATAAATAAAATAAATAAATTCATACAGTATGTAATAAAAATAATTTTTTGTTAATATATGAATGAACTGAGTTGGTGTGTTATGTAAAAACACACAAATGAGACAATTTGTTGAGTGTATATGTCAAGTCAAGTCACCTTTATTTATATAGCACTTTATACAATACAGATTGTTTCAAAGTAGCTTTGATAGTGATAACAGGAAAATGATTCAATGATTCAAACAGAGTTAAAGCAACACCATGTGATTTTTCCTCAGCGGTCGCCCTACAGGTTGGAAGCAGAATTGTCCATTACTGCTGTCGTAAATAATTTAGCCTTCCGCAGCCGACTGTCGCACGCGCACGCTCGCTGTTTATCCAGCACCGGCTTTGGAATCAACAATGGCAGACATCCCAACCTGCAAGAAGTCATTTCAGACAGGGAGGTATATCTTGGTGACTGGATTGTTGACGTTGGGGGGCGGCTGGGGGCGGCTGGTGGCGGCTGGTGGCGGGTTGACTAGCTTTCGTGAGGCACACTCGCAAGGTCTCTCGCTCTCTCTCTCTCAGCCGTGCTCGCGCTATGTATGTTATGCGCGCAGTATGTTCTGTCTCACATGCGCGCTCTAGATTCCGGCAGATCTGAACTAATTTGCGGGCATCAGGGAGACGCAGGAGACTCCCGGGAGACTTGGGATGTCTGCAATGGCCACAGACAATTTGAGGAAGTGGTGGGGGAAGTGACGTATGCCGTAAAGCAGTCGAATTTTGTAGTTCTTTTTGTGCACGGGTTCCTACCCGAAACCCGAAGTTACATAGTGCCAGTAAAAGCGATACAGACCACGTCAGGCTATGGCAGACGTGTCATTTAACTTATTTTAAGTCGATGTACCATCACAAGGGTCTTGGAAATATATTATGAAGGTTGAAAAACTACATAGTGTTACTTTAAAGAGACCATTGGTGGCAATGGCTTTACGATCTACTTAGGCTTACGGTGCTTTTGGGAAACACAGTCCAGCTCAGTATGGTGACGAAGCTGGTCATAGATCTAATATTAGTGTGGATTCCATTCGTCTTACGATGGAAGAAGTACATCGGGTGTTATGGGAAGTGTTCCTGGTTCTGGTTGACCTCTGGAGTTGCTTTGCATCCTCTGGCACTGGAAACCTGCAGTGTGTGGAAGTCAAGATGGATTCATTTAAGTATCTGGAAATCCTTGGAGAAAACGTAATGCCCGTCAGTGAGGAAGCTGAAGCTTGGGCGTCAGTGGACCTTCCAACAGGACAATGATCCCAAGCATACCTCAAATTCCACCAAGGCTTGCTTGCGGAGGAAATCTGGAAGATTCTACAGTGGAAGAGTCACCTGACTTGAGCCCCATGGAAAATCTCTGGTGGGATTTGAAGAAGGCGGTTGCAGCACGGAAACCCAAGAATATTACTGAACTGGAGGCCATTGCTCATGAGGAATGGGCTAATATTCCTCAGAAAAGCTGCCAGAAGCTGGTGTCTGGTTATACATCTGGTTATTGCAGCAGGTCATAACAGCATAAGGGTGTTCTACTAATTACTAAAGATGCTTGCCCTGAAGGGGTTGAATAATTTTGAGACCGCAGAAGTCATTAAAAGTTGCATTTTCAGTTGAATTTGGGGAAACCAAAACATTTGTTGTGTTGAGCTATTTCAATTACTTTTGTTTGATGTGTTCATTGCAAAAAGCTGAAAGTTTGTAAATTTTGCCTATAAACCTGATTTGCAATGAGGGTTGAATAATTTCGATTACAACTGTATATCCATATAGCACAGGCCAATTTATTAGGTACACCTGGGGCATGTTCAAGATCACAACGGTGCGCAACGTTTTGCTACGGTTTCCGGGTTGAACGTCATGTTTCCTGGAAACGGCGTGCACCGGTGTGCAACGGGGTTTGAGATGCGTTTTCTCTTGTTTGGTGGGCGTGTCACAACTGCAGTCCAATCAGCAGCAACATGTATATAAAGCACACGGTATTAAAGTGAACTCGCACAATGGAAGTAATTTACAAATGTGTTCGATATGCAACAACTATGGATATTAGAAGACATGTTTGTCGTAAGTATTATTGTAAAAATATAGGATATCAACATAATGATGTAGTTGTTTATATTTTTAGCTTCATTGCAAGTGTGTGACATTTGGTATAGAAATAAACAATGCATGTAAAGTGCTTTTCCTAAAAATGAGAAAGAAAATACAGGGTATTAATAAAACATTATGAACAACAAGAATGTGAGGCTAAATAGATGTGTTTTAGTCTTTATTAGGTGAGATGTGCTTCCATTTCAGTTTCCACAAATCCCTTCACTCGATTGGGATGTTCTCTTGTGTTCTGGGCGGCAAGTGCAGTAACTGTAACATCGGGCATATTTTGAAGTATTAAACATATTTATACCGACTTCATCAGGCTCCGAAAATTCTTCACAAAGAACACAAAAAGCCTTCTCAGCTGCCGTAGTTGCAACTCTTGCGTCATCACAACAGTGCGTTCAACGCATCACCGTTTCTGTTTAAAAAACGTTCTGCAACGTTTTGTCGGCGCTGAACGCAGCCCTGATCAACTGCTCGTTAATGCAAATATCTAATCAACCAATCAATCAGATAGCAGCAACTCTATGCATTTAGCCAGAAATTGGGCATGTAGGCTACCATGATGGTAGTTGAACAAATCAGATGCTGTGTAGCAATAAAACTCAGATTCACTTCTCACAAGAGAGCCAGTGCAATTCAATTCACTCTTTAAATAAAGTTTATATATTTGATCATATAGGTATACAGAGACTTCAAAAGCTCACATGTAGTCATTTTTAAATCTTTATCTGTTGATTCCAAATCTTATTTATCTTACATAGGCTCTATTACTATTATCGTTACAATTTAATTAAATTCTTAGTAATAATTGGTAAATTGTAAAATTACTCGTGTAATGGATTAGATATATAATAATTAGCTATATAAATAATAATCATAAAATTATTATAATAAATGATTATTGCTTATTTAACCGTCTCCAGAGCGTCGGCGCACTGAAGCGTTTTTTTTTTTATTTAGTTCAAATATACTATCAGATTTAATGTTATACCTTGACAAACTATACATCATTAAAAAGATATAAGACTCAAGATTCAGTATTTGACCACTATTGTATTCTGAGAAACTTATAGTGACAGTTATGTCTTAATTTGTGTCAGGAGTTATGAAATTAAAAAATGAGTCGTTACCTTTAATATGAATTATGAGCGTCAGCTGGTCTCATTCAGAAAAAAACTCCCGTGCGATCGTCATGACAGCGCTTGACAAAACAACGTCCCTCAGGGCTTTTAGCTCAAACATGTGCAGATTTGGAGAAATATTGATAGATTCTCATAGCTTTACATCAGACTTCTATAGACAGGAATAATATTTATTGAATTTATACCCAAATGCGTCGATGTAATCATTTTGAGCGCTGTATACTCTGTACTGTGTTTCATCCTGAAAGTGAGGGCGCTGTTTGCACATAAAGTCCATATATGGATCACATGAAGAAGAGCCATAATCATGTGACATTCAGGAAGTCCTGCCACAACAAAGCTATCCGAGATCGCTGTAAAGTGCAGATAAAGATGTTTTGAAGACAATAAACATGATTGCAATGATATTTGATTTACCTGTGTTCTTCGAGTCATGTCAGGTATTTTCATAATAATTGATTATATGTATAATGTAATGCTAATCGAGATAGACTTTCAAATTGTGCAGAATACAATAAAATAATATATTTTCTATCTGATTTTTTTATCTGAAGCCAAATCAGATTACAGAAAGTTATTTAAAACACTCGACTTGCGCTATAAAGTAAGTTTGGAGAACAAACATAGTTTTATTCTCATAAATTGTCGTGTATTGATGGTGTGCTAAGCTAACATGCTAGCTAGTACTGAGCACCTGCTACCTTACTTCGGTGTAATTTTTATGATTTTTTTCTAAATAAGAATGCTTACTGAAATGTTTCGTTTTTCAAAAAGGGCATTTGATACAGTTTCACTGTGAAGTGAGAACTTTTATAAAATAAATGAGGGATTGAAACAGTGTGAATTGCTAGTCGTTAGTGATTATAATGCAGACAAAAGAAAAGCATATTTAGAGCAATAAACTGGCTGGAGAGGTATGAATATGTGCAGGGGAGACTGAGACTGAATGGGGCTCGTTTTTGCATCACAAAACAATAGAGGCAATAGACTGAATAGATGCTTATAAGAAAACAATAAACACCAGTCTAATCAAAATAAAGTCATATGACATGATCTTGAAAAACATTGAACTAAATACAGAGTTTTAGACTTATCATCTTCAGATTTTAAATATAACATGGTTAGACATGTGGCTTTAGCTGCAGTGCATTTCTAGATTGCTACAATGCCAACTTCAATTTTATTTTCATGAAGATGTTTCATAAAAATAAATGTATAATAACTTTACAAAACTTTGAAGCTATTTATAACTATTTTTTTTCATTATGACAATAATTAATTCTACATTTACAATAAACTTCCAGGTGTCAGCTTTCAAATGAGATCTTACTTGTGCTTTTAGTACAAAGGGTTCATGAACTGTATCTGTTTCAGTTTGGGAATGCCATATCTGGGGATTTTTCAAAAATGGGCTTGAAGCTTAACAGGTTAAAGCCGGACAGTTTTGTCTCAATTATTATTATTATTTTTTATATGTAGCGACCTTTAATTTGGAGCAAGAGAAACTGGAGGAGTGACTCTTTTTTTGTGTCAGACATGTGTCACTTTTCTCACAGCTGATTGGTCCAATTTTGGTTTGAAATCTCTTACTCAGAACATAACCTGCTTTGGAGCAGGTTAGCTGTGGAGTGGCGATGAACACGACTAAAAGCCAAGCCACTTTCATGGCCTAAAACCCAGGGTTGACACAAACTAAACTGAAACATACCTGACTATCCACCTAAACCGGCTTCATGTTATATGCCTATGGTCAAGATGATGTGCTAAAGTTCAAAATGAGCATCAGAATGGGAAACAAAAGGTGATTTAAGTGACTTTGAACATGGCATGGTTGTTGGTGCAAGGCGGGCTGGTCTGAGTATTTCAGAAATTGCTGATCTACTGGGATTTTTACTCACAATCATCTCCAGGGTTTAAAGAGAATGGTCCAAAAAGGAGAAAATATCCAGTGAGCTGCAGTTCTGTGGACGAAAATGCCTTGTTGATGCCAGAGGTTAGAGGAGAATGGCCAGACTGGTTCAAACTGATAGAAATGCAACAGTAACTCAAATAACCACTCATTAAAACCGGGGACCGCAGAAGAGCATCTCTGAACGCACAACACGTCAAACCTTGAAGCAGATGAGCTACAGCAGCAGAAGAACATACCGGGTGCCAATCCTGTCAGTTAAGAACATGAAATTGAGGCTGCAATTTGCATATGTTCACCAAAATTGGACAATAGAAGATTGGAAAAAATCGTTTCCTGGTCTGATGGTCTCCATTTCTGCTGTGACATTCAGATGGGATGTGGTGGAACGGGAGAGTCACATCATGGATGTGAAGCCGACAAATCTGCAGCAACTGCGTGATGCTATTATGTCAATATGGACTAAAATCTCTGAGGAATGTTTACAGCTTATTGCGCCCTGTATCTTCTTGTTGAATCTATCCTATGAATAATGAAGGCAGCTCTGAAGGCAAGACGGGTTCCAACCCGGTACTAGCAAGGTGTACCTAATAAAGTGGCCGGTGAGTGTATGCGTGTGTGTGTGTGTGTGCGCGTGCGTGTATGTGTATATATATGCTTATATATGTGTACCATTCAAGGTTTTTTTGGTTAATTTCAGAACTTAATTAGGAAACTGGAGGAGCAGATCGAGGAGGAGAAACAGGCTTTTGAGGAGGCTCAGGAGGAGGAAAGAAGGAGAACTCAGAAGCTTCACTGCAGAGCAGCCACAAAGATCCAAGCTGCTCTCAGAGGAGCATTAGCTCGTCGCTGGAGCAAAAAAGAGCTGAGGAGAAAGAGAGAGGAGGAGAATAGATATGAGGAGGAGAAGAGGGAATGGGAGAAGATGAAGAAGGAGAAGGAGGAGGAAAGAAAAAGGATCGAGGAGGAAGAGCAAGCACAGAAGGAGGAAATGGAGAGACGGAGAGCAGATTATGAAAGAGCGAAAGAACAAGATCGCCATCGTCTGGAGAGAGAGCAAAGACTTGAACAACAGAGGAGGAAGGAGGAAGAAGATAAGGAGAGGAGGAGGGAAATGAAGAGGAAGGAGGAACAGAACAACATTACAAGTGTAATAGATGATTGCAGAAGACAGGAAGTGGATGCACACAGGAAGAATAAAGAAAAGGAGAGAACAGAAGTGGAAACGAGTAGCCAGGTGGAGGATGAATTTAAAAGAGAGGAAAATGAGATCAAAGGCAATGAGGCAATTGTGAGAAAAATAGAAGATAATAATGAAATAATAAGACATGGGAAGAACATGGAAAACACATTGGATGACGACAGGAATGCGACGAAAAAACAGGACAAAACTAAAGGCATAAGCACAGAAGACACAGAAAGATTAGATGATATGAGACCGCAAACAAAGAGTGATAAAGACAGAACAAAGAGCCATGAAGTAAAAAAAAGAGTTGATGGCAACGTAGAGCTTGATTCTCAGATAAATCTCTCACAATCAAGAAAAAGCTTTAAATTGACCAAAACCACTCCAGAATCCCACATAAATGCACATCAAGGTCTTTCCAATGACCTTGGCATTAGTTTAATTGGTTCCTCAAGTGTTGCAGATCACCTAAGTGTTGAAGCGACTCCGAGCGTAGATACAGACTTGACTATGCCGGCTTCTGATTTGAATGATGTAGCACCTGAAATGAACACTAGAGGACATCAAAATACTACAGATATTGAGCTTAAGGACCATGAACCTGAAAGCCAAGAGTCAGTTTCAGTGTGTCTGCCTGACAGCACAGAGCAGAAGCGACTGGCCTGGATGCTGAGCTGCACTCCTTGGTCCAAACTATCATTGCAGAATAAAAGGAAAGTGTCTTCGGCACAACAACAGTCCCAAAAAAGAGGGCCAAGAAGAAAAAGAGTACCCGGTTTACCCCCTCTGTCTGTGAACACTATTCTCAAACCAGGAACTTGGGGCTCTCTCAAACAGGTAGAAATGAAAACCCATTTCCTGGCTGAGATATGTCTTATATGTTCCTGCTGACTTTTTTGTCATTGTGCTGGTAAAAATCAGGTTACGACAGTGATGCTGGAAGACCTGCCGGGTTGTTGCCTGTCTACACTGTCCGAGTGTAACAACCTGCAGACTTTGACACTTAGACGCTGTGGACTCACATCCTTGGATGGATTGAACCAGTGCGCTCAGATCAGATACATTGATGTACAAGTAAGAAAGAACAAACTATCTTATGCTTACCAAGGCTGCATTTATTTGATCAAAAATACAGTAAAAACAGTAATATTTTTGATTATTCCTCCAGTCTTCAGTGTCACATGATACTTCAGAAGTCATTCTAATATGCTGCATTGGTGCTCAAGAAACATTATTAATGTTATTGTATGTTATTAATGTTATTATTGTAGTGTATGTATTGTTTCTCACATTTAGGAGAACTCAATTACCCATGTGGATTGTGGAGGTCTGGTCAACCTTCAGGTCCTCCTGCTGGGCAAGAACCAGCTGATGAACACACACGGTTTTGATGGAGCTGAAAATCTGCAAATTCTTCAGCTCTCACACAACAACATCTCTCGTATCAGTGAGTATGTTCACTAGAACTGCCTTTATGCTTTATGTATTCTATTTATTTTTCATTGCAAGCACTAAAGAAAGAGAAGCTGACTGTTGGTCAGTTGGAGCTATATGGATCTAGATTGTGCCACAGAATTAGCATTAAATATGAATTGTTGTCATTGTCCAGTAGAGGGCATCATTGTTCCAGTTTGGTGACTTCAAATGGCCTTTTGCCCTCATTCTCCTTGCAAAATAAATCTTGATGTCTCATTTCGGAGTAAATGGCCTCATATTGAATAAATATGAATAAATGTATCATAAATAAGAGGATAAATGCAGTTTAGAGGTATTTGCTGTCAGTATTAGATGATGTCCTGCCAATGCTGCCTTTTTATATTAGATTATCCTTTGGCTGGTATTAGATATTGTCACCATGGCCAAGAATTATCCTCATACACTCCCCCACTCCCACTGAATGATATATCTATGCTTTCTTAGGTGGTTTAGGACCCCTGAAAATGCTTCTGCGATTATCAGTGGACCATAACCAGCTGCTCAGCACGAGAGGTTTGAAGGAAATTTATACCCTTCTGCATCTGGACTGTTCGTACAACCACCTATGTCACGTTGAGGGTTTGGAGAATTGCGCTCTTCTTAACACACTGGACCTCAGGGGAAACAGTCTGACTGAGGTAAATCTTACACAACCAAAGAAACAAACTAATTTAAACGATGATAAGTAAGATGTCTTTAGAAGTAATATGAAGATCATATTGATAATCACAGTTTTCCATTACTTTGTTGTTTTGCTAGTAATTGTGAACTGTTTAATGTTCTTACTCTAATTAGCCCAACTGAAATCATAGACTTTAACCACTTACAATTTATAAAGAGACATATTTCCAGCTCAATGTCCAGGAAATGCGTAATTTGACCGTGTTCATTACATGAAACCAGCATACGTTATACTGAAATCCTATGCTGCCGTCACTTTAATTGAATTATCGTTATCTGTTTTGCTTAATGTGTGGATATTAGTCATGTTCAGGATGAGGCTTGATCCACCCATCTCTGGTGATGGGACCGTGTTCATTGTTGGAACATAAAATATGTCTTTCTGTGTGATCAAGTGGTCAAGAAGGAATTGTTGTTGTGTGTTTTTTTCTGGCTGATGGCATAGCTGCCTGTCCTGCAGAACCATGTTCTTTTGAGGGACCTTTACCTGGATGACAATCTTATATCTTCCATTCTTGATCTGGAATCTTATTGGCTACCTTTGCTCCAAAACCTTTCTGTGGCCCAGAACAGGTAGGCCTCAATGGAGAATGGCTGTGTCTCAAAACCTATCAAGTTGCCTACCTACTCATTGGTTGGTGGCTCACAGGTTTTCAGTCTCTTCATTTTTCGAACATAACACACACAGTTTCACTGTTAAATCCTACTTAAAGGTGAAGTCTTTGCCATGTTTAAATACATTCTTATGTAAAATGTAATACAAAAATCTACAAATGTACAGTGCTAAGATGTTTTATTGTTTTAAATGACTTTTCTCTTTCTTTAGTATAACTCGTTTAATTCCATTCTTGGACTTGGTGTCTCTGAGGACACTGGATGCCAGTAATAACTGTCTGTCAGGTGAGCTTATAAAGTGGGGTGAGTCGACTTGACTCGACTGTATCGGGTCTTTAATCTTGACGATGGATGGATAACCTATGTAACGAACAAATAATGCTTTCATCTTATTTATCCTTAAAGTGATAGTTCACCCAAAAATGAAAATTCTGCCATTTACTCACCTTTATAACATGTATGCTGTTTCTTTTTCAATTACTTTTTTCAAAGACTTTTCTTCACACATAACTACAGTATTTTTAAACTTGGAATAGACAACTTGGAATATAGCGCAAGTCACATGGAACACTTATAGTGCTGGTCACTATAATGGTCACTATAAATTTTTGTTATATTGAGTAGAGCTGCATTGATTCTGCATGTGACTCTTTTGAAGAATATTTTTCAAAATTGACCTTTTCTGTTACACTGAAAAATAACAACATTAAAATTTTGAATCACATAAGGGTGAGTCAATAATGACATACATTTTTAGTGAACTGTACTTTAAAGTACCATTGTGGAAAGCAGTTCTGTGTATGCTAATTTACAGAAATGTTTAATTATAGTATCTAGGTGTTTTCATTCAGTCCAAAATGGCTAACATTTGAAATTGCAGTAAAATTATAACCATTTCTTAGAGTATTTCTGAGGGGGGACACTGTTCTGACTCTTTTAGACTTGCAGAACGTTTGTCGGAATCTTCAGAAATGCACCAGTCTCCAAGAACTTAACCTGACTGGGAGCCCATTACAGCAGGAATACAACTGGAGGTAGGTGTGATCCAAGGACCCAGTTTAGGACCTTTTACATTGACTTTTTAGTTTCTCTGTTTCTTAATGTTACCTGCAACTACTAAGCCAAAGTGCAGGAGTATATTTGTTGTTGAGAGAGAATATTAGTATATACTGTAGGAATTGAAATGTGGTTCCTCCTTTTATTATGGAGAGATTTATCTTGGATTGGGCAGAAGCTGTCATGTGTGCATTCCAGCAAAAGTCACTAAGCATTTCATAATTGTCCGAGAATGTGAAACTAATGTGAACAGGGACATTGGCTGGAAGTGCACCAAACGTTTAAAGTAGAATAAACATTCTTCTTTACCGCTGAGCTTCCGGCCCATATCACTGCACCAGCCATTGTATCTGTGTCCACTATTGGATTACCCAGTGACATCTGTACGCACGTGGACTTAAGTGCTCGTAATTCTGAAAATATTTGCTCAGTGGGGGAATATTTTTTAAGCAAATGTGCTCCTAAAGTGCAAGCAGTTTGCAGAGAGTTTTTATTGAGCAAATTATATGTTCTTATGTGGTAGAAAAAATGTGTGAGAGACAGAACAAGGAGATCAGGGAAGTATAGAAGCATGTTGGAATTTATTTCTCAAGTACCAGTCCAGTTCATTCAGTCAAAATGGAGAAAATAATATCATACATACCAAAGAGGTTCGTTGACTGTCACGACTTTATAGTTCAGAAGGCCCAGGGGTTTATTGTTGGCAACACATTAATTTTTTCTGACAGAATCTTACTTACTAAATTGACTTGCTCCTTAGTCAGCACTAAAATATTTAGTTGTTCATTTTGTTAGTTAATTTTAAAACTTCATTTACCACATTTTGCATGTGGCTTCCAAGGAGAAATCTGAGGTGAAATATATCTGTTGTGTCTTTACATCTGTTTTATTCTGTAATGACTTATAGGAAGTTCACTCAAGTCAGGCTCAGTATTGTGCTGAACTTTGTCTAACCCTCAATGCCAACAACCGAATTAGACCCAGTGTTTTTCTCGCTCTCCACTGGCCCTTTCATCCCCGTCCAGTGATAACACAGCCTAAATTAAAGCACCAAAGAATATTTCAAAGAAGTACACAGCGCACGAGCGCTCAGAGTCTGGGAGAGCTGACTTTAGCAAGATTAATCGAACTGCTGTAAGTTTCTTTGTTTACAGGGAAGTTTTCACGAGTAATGAATAGAGTCCTTTTCTTGGTAGTAATAGGAACCTGACGACTGGACACGAGATGGCCGAAAGAGCATTTGTGTATAATATGACCATTGTAAAAGTGAAGTAGCTGAACATGTCCACTTTTTAGTGACATAACAAATGCAAAAGCTATTATGATTTCTCAGATATAACGTAACTTCCTGGTAAATGCTTTTTCATAGCCCTGATTTTAGGATATGTTGGCTTTTAGCAATGTGTTCACCTATTTGATCCCCTTTTATGAAAAAATCAGCTTGAATAAAATACTTTGTGCTAGTGATAAACCATCAATGCATAGTTTCTCTCTCCCATTGCTTCCCATCTCTCCTTTAATGTCATATGCATAAAAAGAAAAAAAGAAAAAGAAAAGAAAGTGTATCTTTACTGATTAATTGAATTATTAATAACTAATATACCACACCTGAAAATCTAGTTTTGAACAAATATTTGACTGTTTTTAAAGTAAAAAAAACAACATAGAACACTTAGTAAAAATGTAATATTTTTTCTTTAATATTTAAAATTAATATTATTTTGTATAACAAAAACAAAGATATAAATCAAATATAAGATTTATTATATAAATAATAATTGATGAATGAACAAATAAATAATTAATAAAATAAAATAAGTGACTACTGTAATTCTACAGTAATTTCATTGTTATTGGTTCTTAAAAATAATTTTTCTTCTATTTTCTCATACAGTCTCGCACATTGAAACACATTGAAGACCAATAACCAAAAAAGCAATATATGCTCACTTGAATGGCTGTCACATCTCTGGATTGAGGCCAGCGAACCCTTTTCACTTCTAATCCAAGCCGAGTGTCATCATGCAGTTTCTTCCTGAGAAAGGGAGACTCTTACTAAACCTCTCGATGCACAGGCGCTCTGTTGATTCTCTCGGGTCCAGAATGTCAAAACCATTAAACGTTTTATCCCCATTTCCTAACTGATTTCGTCTGCTCAATGTAAATATTCTCCAATAGAAAGCCCATGGAGACGGAGAGAGGGAGGGACTGGAACTAAAATTTACCCGTTACTTTTTTATGGTTGCAGTGGACAGTAAATGCGGTAACCTTGCATCTGAAATACAATTGTTTTGCATAAGAAGCTGTTTAAAGCATAATTGTAAACTGATTAGCCTTTTTTGTGGCACCCTCTTTATATTTAATCTAGATTCTTTTTAGAAGATAGATTTTTTTATGTTTCTCAATTATAACCCTTTCTAAGACAGTCTAGCTTTGTTATACATTATAAAATAAACAGTCGCCAACAGTTAAACCAATCATTTCAAAGAGCTTTGAGCACATTGTGTGGTCGTTTCTCCTTACATTTTCATCAGGTAAATGTCTTAAATGCCTTTTTTCTCTCTCAGGTCCTTGCTTCTGGAGACAGTGCCTGGTTTGATTAAGCTGAATAATGAGCAGATCGCTGTAGCAGCGGCGTCCCCAAATGGTCCAGAACAGAAGTGGACTTTCCAGGCCTTCTGTCAGGCACAGCAGAAACAGCGAGATTCACTCATCCAGCAGCAAAAGATGGAGATCAGGTAGACAACCAGTATCTGTACCAGTAAATGTCTCTGGAAAGAACCAATAAAAATCCATTTGGTCAAAATGTAATTCCTATAGAATATTATAGCATATAGATCTATTTCTAAAGTGACTGATACAATGTATCAGCAGGTCCACACAAAATCTTTGCCCACAGTTTGACTCCCACAAAGTTCTTTACATCCCCCACCCATTGGGTTTATTAAATATTTTGGATAATTTGTCTATGCTTTCATCTACTAATTTGAATGAGGTTCTCTTAGCTTCACTTAATACTTTAAGTGAAGCGACAGTAGTAAAAAGAAAAATTGCTTTTAGCCCTGGTTGCTAATCCCAAATTATATGAAGTATGAATCAGGACTGTTTTAAGACTTCTATTGAAATCCATTTCAGCTATGAAAAATGCATATAATAATATTTTAACTGTAGGTAAACTACATAGTTTATGCGGAGGGTCTTTGTAGAGAATCTGAAATCCAGGCCTAAAAGACCTAAAATAGGGCTAAAATAAATAATTATTATATATACACTCACCGGCCACTTTATTAGGTACACCTGTCCAACTGCTCGTTAACACTTAATTTCTAAGCAGCCAATCACATGGCGGCAACTCAGTGCATTTAGGCATGTAGACATGGTCAAGACAATCTCCTGCAGTTCAAACCGAGCATCAGTATGGGGAAGAAAGGTGATTTGAGTGACTTTGAACGTGGCATGATTGTTGGTGCCAGAAGGGCTGGTCTGAGTATTTCAGAAACTGCTAATCTACTGGGATTTTCACGCACAACCATCTCTAGGGTTTACAGAGAATGGTCCGAAAAAGAAAAAACATCCAGTGAGCGGCAGTTCTGTGGGCGGAAATGCCTTGTTGATGCCAGAGGTCAGAGGAGAATGGCCAGACTGGTTCGAGCTGATAGAAGGGCAACAGTGACTGAAATAACCACTCGTTACAACCGAGGTATGCAGCAAAGCATTTGTGAAGCCACAACACGCACAACCTTGAGGCGGATGGGCTACAACAGCAGAAGACTCCACCGGGTACCACTCATCTCCACTACAAATAGGAAAAAGAGGCTACAATTTGCAAGAGCTCACCAAAATTGAACAGTTGAAGACTGGAAAAATGTTGCCTGGTCTGATGAGTCTCGATTTCTGTTGAGACATTCAGATGTTAGAGTCAGAATTTGGCGTAAACAGAATGAGAACATGGAACCATCATGCCTTGTTACCACTGTGCAGGCTGGTGGTGGTGGTGTAATGGTGTGGGGGATGTTTTCCTGGCACACTTTAGGCCCCTTAGTGCCAATTGGGCATCGTTTAAATGCCACGGCCTACCTGAGCATTGTTTCTGACCATGTCCATCCCTTTATGGCCACCATGTACCCATCCTCTGATGGCTACTTCCACCATGTCACAAAGCTCTAATCATTTCAAATTGGTTTCTTGAACATGACAATGAGTTCACTGTACTAAAATGGCCTCCACAGTCACCAGATCTCAACCCAATAGAGCATCTTTGGGATGTGGTGGAACGGGAGATTCGCATCATGGATGTGCAGCCGACAAATCTGCGGCAACTGTGTGATGCCATCATGTCAATATGGACCAAACTCCCTGAGGAATGCTTCCAGCACCTTGTTGAATCTATGCCACGAAGAATTGAGGCAGTTCTGAAGGCAAAAGGGGGTCCAACCCGTTACTAGCATGGGGTACCTAATAAAGTGGCCGGTGAGTGTAAATGCGGTATGGCAGAGAAAACTTAAACTGAGCATTTCATTATTTTTAAAATCTTGTGCTATTGCTGTAGAAATTTAGCATTTGTTAATTTTGGCATCAGTGCTAATTAATTCTTTGAGCTCATACATGGTGAATATCAACAAAAAATTACACTTTCACTTCTGTCATACAAAAGCCGCCTTAGACGCTGCTGCAGACCACCAGCAAATAAAGCAGAACACTCACCATGTTTCATAAAGCATGATTGGCAGAAGTCTGTGTGTCCTGTGGTTCAAGCTGAGGTCTCTCATAGCTTGGAGGACTTTAGAGAATCCCCCCCAACCCTTCCGCCGCACACTCTGCACAAAGGGTCTTTTGCACACCCGTGGGGACCGCTGCAGACGTTTAACATCTGACCTGACCCAGTGTCAGTCCCCAGCTTTGGCAAGGTGAAGACTCTGCCGTCTGACTGCGATACAATGGTAAACCAATGCCCGTGTTGATTAGAATGACAGAATGAACTGAGGGATTCATTTAATGTCATCAAACCACAGTGATAAAATGGAATTCATGACACTGAATTATAAATAGGAATGTTGTGTCACTGCAAAAGCTGTGTTAGTTCTTCAAAATAATTAAAAAACAAAACAAAAATAATAAATTTTTTCTCTGAGGTAATTTCAGTTGTCAGTAAGTAGGGGAACTGTGTAAGGTCTAGGATTGTATTTATTTTCCTTGGCACGCTTTTTACAGCTTGTAATAATGTTTGGCTTTCAGAATGTCCATTGCTGACTGTATATGCAATTTGACATTAATTTGTTTTAATGAGGTAATAAAATTAGCCACATCTCTGTGCTTGTGCTGTATTTGAACATGTTTCGACAGTAGTTTTGTTTCCCAGTACAAATGTACATTGCATTGGACTCTTGGATGGATCTTTTTACGGCTCTATTCTGGACTGAAGTGTGTGTTGGAGGGCTGCGGATGCCCCCTTAACCGTGTCAGAGGATTAGAATAGCAGGGACTCAATAGTGACAGAGCTGGTTTCTGATGTTGACAGCAGAGACGGGCTCAGGGGTCAGGGGCAGGAGGGGCAAACTAGCCATGGCTAATAGAGTAATTAAAGGGGTATTGAGACACCTTTGTAGAAACTTCCTGAAACACTTCATTATAGTTTTACATCCCTCAAGAAATGTCTAATTCATATGTTAAAGGCTAGTTTAAATCTTCATCAAGATGTTGGTAAAACATTATAATAAGTTTTCATTTAAGATGACTTAACTGCATTAGTTACCATGAACTAATAATGAAAAGTACTTCTAAAGCATTTATTAATCTTAGTTGAATGTTAATTTCAACATTTACTAATATTATAATATTAAAATCAAAATCTGAACTAATCTAACATGAACTAGCCTAACAATGAACAGTTGTATTTTTATTAACTAACATTAACAAAAATGAATAAATACTGTAATAAATGTACTGCTCATTGTTAGTTAATATTAGTTAAGGCATAATGCAGACTAATGTTATCCAATAGGACCTTGTAGTGTTACCAAGATTTCTTTTTTCCGTAAAATACTTTAAAGGGGTCATTTACACATATGCAATTTTGCCTTTAAAAATGCTGTCATGTGCAAGATGCTGCAAAAACACTAGATGCAAACACTACTTTCAAACACATTTGTCCAATGCATGTTTACAGAGAATAACAATGAAAATGCAACGTTGTGGAATGCAAAAACGCTGTGTGACTGTGAATGGTTCCTAATACGTGAAATTTGTGTGTATTTTTTTCACGCAGTTCTGCGCCCTCGCAACATGACGCCCAGCTTCTTGCCATTGGTCACCAACCAGACCTGTTCAGATTGGCAGTGGACCAGCGTTACGCCCATGAATACGGTGACAGCTGTGTCACTGAAGATTTTGCACTGGCCGCAGCTGCTTGTAGTCGTTCATGCAGGTTTTCTGAAGCATCTTTTTCACAGGGACAAAGTCCAGAGAAGCAACCTCGACATACAGCAGATTGGCAGAATTCTGACCTTGAGCTTCGATCTGCTGAGTGCATGGAGACACAAAGTGAGAAGGAACCTGTTCAGGCACTGAACCTTAAAATGTATGACTCTCTCACACACAATACCTATCTTACTTTGTCGCAGTAACGTTTACAGCAATTATTATCTGTTTGTAGAAAACACCTCCCATGATTTGAAGGTACATTTAATTTTAGCTAAAGGTAATCAAAATAAAGCTCATCTTTAAGTCATTCATATGACATCGGAGCCCTGCTGGGTCTCTCTCCAGATGTTTTAGCGCAGATGAATCATCCAAGGCTTGAGTTCAGTGACATTCATTTAGTCTCTCATGACCTTGGTGAGTCATCAGATAAAATTGTCTTTTGTGCTATCACTCAGAGAGGCAGCTGTGGTGATCCAGCAACGCTGGCGGAGGAGATGCGTATTGCGGAGACGTGAGGGCCTCCCAGGCTTAATTGAAAAAACTAACACAAAATCAAGTCTTCATAAGGTGGAAGATACCTGCATTGAGAGGCCTGAGAGGGAACGGGCTGCTGTTGTTATTCAGGTGAGACTCACAAAAATTCCAGTTCATTTTGGTTTGTTTGATCTACAGCATCATATCTCTGGAAACGTGTTTTCCATACCTCCTTTTATGAATGCAATAAATAACTTGCACAAAATTAAATCATCTTCATTACACCTATTACTGCCAAGGGCTTGTTTTGAGTCGGTAGGTAGTGCTTTTGAAAAACAGGCTATTCCTTTCACATGTAACTTCTAAGGGATATTTTCTCTCTCTCTTTGTGTTTAATGAGTCTCTAAGGACACGAACCGAGAGAAAAAAATGATTAATCAGATTCCAACGTGTCGCTGGAGTGGGAGCGCAAGGGTTCTGATCTGTTAAGTCTTTTTTTCCCCGCGGGGAATACGCAGATTTAAAGGCATCCCGGTGTTACATTTGTCTTACAAAGCCAAAGTCACAGAAAGTTCAAACTGCAGACCTCGGGGCAATTAAACAGAGGTTAACATGTTTTATCTTCCTAATGGGATAACACACAATATTTATGCTTGCATGTGATTCATGACTGTGTGTATTGCCCCTGCAGGCTGTGTGGAGAGGCTGCGTTCTGCGGAAAAGACTGGCCCGTGCTCTAGCTGCCGCTCAGATCACAGAAAGCGATGAGGACTTTGAAGAGGTGGACATGGAAGAATTCATTTTTGATGAGGTATGAGCAGATGCGTGGTGCTCCTGCCATTACGGTGAAGTCGGCAGACAGATAGCCTGGGCCACTGCGCTGACAGTCCTTTAACTAGCGCTCGTAGCCTTGAGGCGGGAGACTGTCAGCAGTGATTAGGTATTGAAAAAGAACAGTCAATGAGCGGGAAAGAGCGGAAGGAAAACCTTGTTTCTTTTTCTTATGTCACCTGCTATTTTCAGCCTGTTTGCATCACGTTTACTCAAATTAACATTGGCTTAACCTATGAATTACGCTAAGTGAGCTCATCTGTGTAGCTTATTAGGAGATTTATTATAGTGTATTACGATGTCATGTTAAATTGATCTGTATTATTGGTCTACATCTAAAAATTCGGGAGTTTTTCATAAGTTGGCTCTTCAATTTCTGCCTGTCACGACTTTGGGGGGGGGGGGGGGGGGGGTATGAGTATTGAGAATATCTGATATATTCTCAAGTGTTTGTCACACACACATGAAACGAGTTCAGTGCTTTTAACTTAATGTGATCTGCTACTTGCTTTGAAGGCATAATGAAAAAATCAAGATGCACTTTATTAACTATGCAAATCCAATCGGATGCCATTTTAGAATAGCTCAGTACCAGCTCTTTTTAATTTTGTGTGCGTCTTGTAAATAGAAAGTGCAGGAGAAAGACTGGATAACCCTGCATTCCTATTCTTCACCGGCCAGAATGATGCCATTTTCGGAACAACTGCCATTGCCAAAGGTAACAGCCCTAGGAACCCTCCTTCTGTCTGTGGGCCGGCACAATCAGAGTCTCTCTGGGTGATTAAGTGCCGAATTTATTGCCTCCAAAAACACAATTACTTTCTGGGCCGCCTCAAACTTCCTTCTCGTCAGCAGATGTCATTTTTCAGCACGGTGCTTTGTCTCCTGCGGTTTCTTTTCTTTAGCAAGAGCTGGCCTTTTCTATCACGGTAGCGGTGCTGTGATGTGATGCAGCTGCTGCTGTGGAGATGTAGAGATTGTCGAATGCACTTCAATGTTCTTAACCAAGATGAAAACTGAGCAGCAGAAATATTATCTATGCTTAAATAAAAGAATTGAAAGTTCACATCAAGAAAGTGTTTGGCCCATATCATACACCTGGCGCAATGCGGCGCAAGGCAAGTGTTTTTTGCTAGTTTCAGCCCGACACAGTTATCATTTTTACGTCATGCGCCACGTTGTTTAAATAGCAAATGTATTTGCGGCCATTTGTGCATCCATAGGCATGCTGGTCTGAAAACGAGCTGTGTTCAGGCGCATTGTTGGCGCGTTGCTATTTTGAAGCAACTGAAATAGACTGCGCCATTGACCAACTGAAACCTGGTCTAAAGTCAATAGCGCAATATGTTTTTTAAAGAGCAGGCGGGTCCACAACGCGCGTACACTTTATCCCGTAGATAATCTGCTCGCGCACTAGGGAAGCGTTCAGTTTTTCCGCTATGTAAATAGCGAATCTGCCATGGCGCGAGGCCGCGAGCGCAACTGGCTTTTAAAGGGAATGGGAGATGAGACTCTGATTGATTTATTGCACGTTATGCCCAAAACACACCCATAGCTTATTAAGAGAAAAGGGACAACCCTTTTAGACCATGCGCTGGGCGCACCGACCATTTTTCCCGTCGTTAAACTAGCAAAAGTGGATTCGGACACGCCCTAAGTGCACCTCCGCTGACCATGCGTTTAGATCGTTAAAATAGGGCCCAAAGTCTTTATGACATCGAAATGACATACTGAGGCTATCTTTGATTATCTTTTTCGGTACTTACAGTCTCAACTCCTTCTTCCGATGCCGCCAAAGACCCTATCTGTTTTTCCACGGCAACCGAAACATGCCTGGTCAGATAGTGAAGATGCAGCCTGCTTGGAGCAAAGCGTGTCGCCTCACCTTAGTACCAGGTGATCATTTGGCTTTATTTCTAATGCTCATGATTATTCAAATAAACATTTTGCTAATGTTTTCTTGCAATGTCTATTGTTTTCTGAAAAAACATTTCCAGATCAGTCCTCAAAAAGAACAACATGTCCGAGAAATCAGAAAAAATCCTCAATGAATGGTATGTTTCTATGCTCCTTAGTGCGGTCCTTTCAATAATAAATAATATTATTGGAATAAATCATAATAAATTATTTTTAATTCTACATTTAAAACAAATGGCCATTTTAGTTACTCTTGCTAACTTCTATTTCAGGGGCATTACTAATGACTCCACTGCCCTTCTCATGCTGAGAAGAGCCAAAAAAATGAAAGGCAGGAAACAGCAGGAGAAAAGATTATTGGGTAGGCATATCCATCCATCCATCCATCTTATGAGCTATACTTAAAACCATTCAATTTTTAATTCAGTAGATCCTATATTGGAAATCCTAAATCAGTGCATCTCAATCAGGGGGCCTGGGCCTACTAGGGGCCTCTGAAATCTTCATAAGGGGCCTCATCATGACTTACAATGATTTAAAATAAGTAAAAAAAAAAAAAAAAAGATTTCTAGACCTGGGAAAGTCATTTAAATCAATAAAATTGTATAATTCCATGTGCATTTTTATGAATATAATTTTTTTTAATTCTTATCCTTAATCCTTATCCAGTAAATCACAACTGGAAACAGTGATGGGGCTGTTTGAATATTGTTGTGGACAATGGGGTTTTCAAAAAGTTTGAGAACCACTGTAGATTCCTTACAGTATTAGCATCCGGCATAGTGCAAGTACATTCCTGTCACTAAAGTTACATTCCATTATAATACTGCATATTTAGTCTAATTAAAATCACTACCACTAAAAAGGCTTCTATCAATCAATCAATCAATCTGTACTGACATTCAGAAACTTCTCTGTCTTTGGTGAGCAGTTGTGCTACACTTAGCATGGATCTTGTGATTCCATGAGAAGCTTAATCTGTCATAACAGCAAGCAGCTCCACCCTGCTCCATGCCTTGTCATGTTCGATTGGCCTGTCTGCAAACATTCTCACATATATTCCATCGTGCTTTGAGTTCCAAGGGCCCAGAATCAGCTTCATTACAAGGAGTTAGGAAACATCAGCGCTCATAAGTTCAATGGGCCGTGAGTCTAAGAAGAATCCCAGACACGGTAGTCCTGGCCCTGGTCTGGATCCTAGAGGGTCGGCCTGAAGCCGGCTTTGATCAAGGTCAGGAGTGCGTGACTCTAATGCCACAAATCCAATCATGGCCCCATCAAATGAGGGCCTGTGTCAAGCTCTCAGAGCCACTGCTCCATAGGCCCTTTGGTCTCGTAATGGAAAGTGAAGCTTTGGTTTCTGTCAGTTTTCTGTTTGCGCTTGTCTGCTCGATGAATCCTGCATTCGCATGAGCTCATTTGTGGCTGCGTTCCTGTCTGTGTTATGTGTTCTAGACCCAAATCTACGTCTGGCCCTGTTCAGGAGCCACAGTAGCCAGTTTGTTTCCACAGAAACTCAAAGAACACGTTTCGCTTTCAAGGACAACTTTAAAGGTAGGACTGTATATATACACACCACTATATACATTTTAAAATGAAGCACATTTCAAATGAATTACTATATATACTGTATTTATATATACATTTTTCTCTACATAAATGAACTGATTCACCATATGAATCAATTGGTTTATTATATGAATCAGTTGTCATATAATATAAAACAATTGATGGAGTTTGCACAATTTTCAGGAATTCTGAGAGAACTGATCCATTTTTATTATTCCCCATGGGCTGGATCCATACAGTCATTTGGGACACGCTTGGATCTATCTTGTGTGTAATACACAAAAACATACACATCGCTCGATCAAATTGAATGCACATGATGGGATCGTAAATAGCTAGCTATTAGGTTGTTTGGGATGGTGGAGAATAAACAAGATGATTGTATTTCAGGAGACTTTGTAGCGGACCTGAAGTGTGAAATTGAGTTAAGTACAGGAGGTATGGCACTTAGGGGTTCCAGACTGAGAGAGAGAGTGCTGTCTGCAGCCCTTGTGCCACCTTAGGGGGGTGGGGCTTTCAGTGCGATGCTACCAAGGGGGGGGGTCGAGCATAAGAGATAAGGGATAGATGAAGGGTCACGTTAAAGAGCAGGGAAAATAAATGAAAAGATATCCTCTTTACAAGCGAACGGTTGCTTTTTTTCTTTACTTTTTTATGTTGTTGTTCCGACTCCTCCGCCAGTCCCATGGCGTATGTAAGCCGATACCCATTTTCAAGTGGGTTACTTCATGTCCAGCACATCCACAAAAGAGAGCTTGGATAAAATAAACACGAGTGAGGCGGATATCTCGGAAAGAATCTGTCACGGCTTCGGGGGGCTAATCACCTCCAGAAGGGGGCTTGGAGCGCTCGGCTGAAATGTAAGCCCCTGCTGGGGGAGAGCAGGGGAGCGGCGGCCAGCCTGTAGCCTGAGGCTTGGGGCCGTCCCTGGTGGGGTTGGGGTTGTGTTCCTGGTGCCTTCCGCAGGTCAGCGGAGGGGAAGAGCAGGTAGCCTTACCCAACCCCTAAGCCAGGACACAGTCCCATGATGCCCTGCTCATGTTGGTTTCAACATCTTTAATCTTAAGTAATGCAATCACTTTTTTTGTTAAATGCAGCGTAGTTGCTTTGCATTAACCTGCAAGTTTTTGCTGCTCTCCTGTGTTTAATGTACACCATGTGTCCTGTATTTCCAGTCTCCTGTATCTGCTGGGCTTGGCACTGTATCACTTCTCAAGTAGATGATACTTTTGGTTTGGTTGGATTCCTTTGCAAGGAAATCTAGCAAAAGAGTCCACAGAGTCCACTTTTTGAATCAGTTGAAGGAGTTTAACTGACAAATGATGTCTTACTTGGTTTATATGTGTAGCTTAACAAATGACTTGATTGTTTCTTTTTTTGCACTTTAGTAAAATAAATTCAAATAATCAGAAAGGATTTTTAAAACATCAGTTCATAAATTAAAAAAAAGTTCAGATAAACCAAGCATTTGAATCTCACATTAAGATTAATCAGATTCCCTCTATTTTGGTGTCCTTTTTTGATTGGTTTAAATTGATGTGATTGACAATGTGTGTGTATGTGTGTGTTGACCGCTGGTTGACCGCCTGTGGTCTGCTCTCTGGAGGTGAAGGTTTGACCCAGGGTAAAGGAAAGTGGGAGACAGAACCTCACGATAAAAGACCTGACCTCCCTCTTTGAGGCTACTCGGAGAACTCCCAAACAATCAAAGCCCCTTGGGTATGTCTCGTACACACACACATACACATGCACTCAAGAATCCCCCACATGCAAAGTGTGTCTTGTGGATAGCCTATGCGTGTGTGCATGGGGTGACTTCACTGCAGTGAAACAATTTAGGCATTTTGGACACCAAATTCCAGTTTATTAAGTCAGACCCAAAAATAACTAGAAAATCCATGGAAGCATTTTTGATAGACACAAGATAATTATTTTGCGAGATGGAATGTATATAAGCATCAAAATATGAAAGATCTATTGTGGATAAAATACTTCTTGTGAAAAACTTTTTTTTGGTCTTTTTTAATTTTAAAGTTCCCTCTGAGGATGCATATATAATCTTAATGTGTTTTTGTAGGCTACTTTCTCTCTCACTCTCTTGTTATTCTCGTTCTCTCAGTTGTTATCCTGGTTTTGTTATGGGCTTACCATGTGTCATTGCCTCAGTATTGGTATGAAGGAAGAGTAGGATTTCTGAAAATACCTGCGCAGTGACCTTAAGGGAATCATGTTGACCCGCTTCTCTGAACCCACCCCCAGCAGTTCGGTTCTGTAATCCTGACCCTCCATGAAAGAGCTGATTCTCTGAGTCCTGCCACCGCCATATCAGCACCACACTGCCTAATGTACTTAAGAGCCCTTCTAACAGCCGTGACTCCTGGGCCTCCTAATGTCCTGAGGGTGGGATAGATGGGGGGGATGCGAGTTCGAGAGCTACTGGATGCTACATGTGTGCATGTGTTTCTATCATATAATATCTGTGGTTAACTCTGGAGGTCCTTCCCTAAAATCTGTGTGTTCGCTGATATGACACACTTCTACCCCCTTTTTTCTTGTAGTTTTGTAACTTTTCAGCAAATAATACTACTTATTATGAACCTGTTTTAATGCACACCTTTTTATGAATCACTTTTTATGAACTCAAGTAACATTTTTATCATTGGTAAAATAAAATTATATTGAATCTATAACCAGCTAAATGCTATAATTTAAATATTAATAATATACATTATAAAAAATCTTAAATGATCATATAAACTTATGTACCAAATAGTCTATTCTATTCTATTCTATTCTATTCTATTCTATTCTATTCTATTCTAATACTTATTTTAAAATTCAGTGGCCCCAAAAGTATTTGGATACTTAAGGGACACAAAATGTATGATTATCATTGCATTAGATAAACTAGACAATATTAAACCAGTGGACATTTATTTGAAAGAAAAATAACACAAGCACCATTTTCAAGTAAAAATTACTTAAGGGCCAAATGGTTAAAGGTCATTGCAAAAGTAGGTTTTGAGAAAAGCATGATTTGTTTCCAAAGGCCATTTGGCTAAATATTTTGTTATTGAATGCAATGAAATTCATTAATTTTGTGTTCAAGTGTAAGTGTCCAAGTTCTGTGGGTGATTTACATACAATGCACACATTAAAGACCCCAGCCGTAGCGTAATCTACGTAATCTACCAAGAGCAGCGCAAATTACCGCCAGGTTTAAGACATGCTGACAAGCGCAAACCTTAGTAAATCGCGTTGCATGATTCATTTAAATACACTCCTCCCTTAAATGTTGCGTCTGAAAGGGAAACTCCTAGAAATGCATATGCAAAATCACACTAATTTGCCCTGTTTAGTAAATCTGTCCGTAAGACTTTTCAGCACCAATAAATGTGGATTGCCTTTTTCCCCGTTTTCTAGTTCAGCCCTTAGGGAGGAGTTAATCACTTGACATTTTTAGTGGATTTTCAATTAACCCATGACAACTGTAGCCCATAAACCTTGTCTGCTCTTTATTTTTTGGCAAAACCATGGAAATGACTTAAGTAAATGGCTCATTAGTTCCAGCACTTGGCCGTCAGAAGTTGTTATCAATTCATGCTAGTCTCCACCGAGAACACGTTTATTCTGAATTAAGGCTTTATATAGTGATGCCTATTGACACTGCCCATAAATGTCCCTACTTCTTACATACTCATTTGTTTTTTTTATTACTAAGATGACTTAAATATACACCACAGAAGTTGGTGAAACAAACGTCATTTGCATGTGCTCTCCAACCTCACAGACTTGTTTCTTCTGCTTCTTAGCTACAGTCCAAAAGTATTATTTTTTGATTCACTTGGTGCTTCTCAGAAATTGTCTGGCAAATTCTGTTCATTTCAGTAAATATTTAAATGGATGTGTCTGAAAAAAAAATCTTTTGGGTACTTTTCTTCTTGTTTTATGTCAAATGCAGCTCACAGAGCAGCGAATGAAGTTTACAAATCACCGAAAGCAGAGGAAAAACAAACTTACCAGTGGCTCCAACCCGACACAGACTCTACAGGCACGGGACGGTGAGACACACACACACTGCTCTGAACTAATAGTTCACAACAATGATCAGTTATAGTGGTGACTTGTAAACGTACACCATCTCACATGTTGTGAAAATGTTGTGGTGTAAATTGTGTTAGAGATAATCTATTCAATTACTTTTTTAGGGAACATTTCCTCCCTGATATTGGCCATGATATTCTTAATGGTGGGAGAGTGCAGCTTGTGGTAAGAGCCTTTTTCTTTTCTTTTCTGTACTTAAAACTGTTCACTAACATGACACTGCTCACTTTTTTTCACAAATCCTGTGCTAATTAACTGTGAAGTTACATTTAAAGTGGTACTCGTGCAAATAAAATAAAATAAAAACGTACTAACAATTGCTGCTGTTATCCCCGTTAATACGTATTTGAAGGAGGGGTGAATTTATGAATGTTTGAGTGTGTGAGAGGTTGTCTATACTTTAATGTACCTGTTTTTTTCTTTTCTTAGGCCATTGGGGACAGAGACGGTGTGGATTCGGGAGAAAAATTTTGGGCTGACTCCACTGATGTCTCTCCACCTCTTAAAAAGCATACTCAAGCTCGGAGATACTCAGCTGAAAACAGAAGTGAGTGTTTTACTTAAGTGAATCAACATAAAAAAAATTAAATAACATAAAATAAATATAAAAATATAAAAAACACATTATATCTGTTTGTCCCAGGTCTGTTTATATTTGGTAATACTGATTTTTACTCATTTTTTGTATTGCTTTAAGTTTTGCGTAAAAATATTGCTAAAGCAAACCATTTGCTTTTTAAATATTTTTTGCTGATAAAAAAGGTAATGGTAAAAGCCCATTGACATTAGAAACATCTGTGCCCTCATTGTTAATAATATCACGCAAGCAAAAAAAAGAAGAACGTTTTTAGAAAGCAGTGAAACTCCCTTGTCCACTTCTGTTATGAGTACATATAACACACTATTAAATATATATATATTTTTTTTTACTTTTATCTCTTTTTCCGCTCCAGGTTTAGGTTGTACTCAGAACATCATTGCCATATGATTTATCTCAGTAATAATTTATGAAAGGTTAAGGGATGGGATTAATTAAGGAATGATTTTAAAACACTGCGGACTTCACACAATGATGTGAGGTTAAATCATGTCAGTCAGGTGCCAAATCAAATACTGCACACAGCGCTCGATGGAAACTGACATGAATGTACACATCATCTGGCTCACTTGATAACCTATTACAACATCACACAAATCCGATTTCACACAATTGAAAACCACTTGACATCACCATGCACTTTTGTTATATGGAAAAAAGCAGGTTTGATCATTGTTTCCACTGGGGAATGTTTTTCCACTGACCAAATTTAGACAAGTGAATGCTTGATACCTTTTAGACAAACATGTTTATGTATAATATATATATATATATATATATATATATATAGTATACCATTCAAAAGTTTGTTTTCGCTAAGTTTTAAGCTTTTATGTCGCTAAGAAATGAGCTTTTATTCAGCCAAGATAAATGAAATTGAATTGAAAATTGATGCTGTTCTTCTGTTAACTTTTTATTCATCAAATGATCCTGAAAAAAAAATGCATGACAGTTTCCACAAAAACATTATGCAGCACAAATGTTTGCAACATTTATAATAAGAGAGGTTTCTTTAGCACCAAATCAGCATATTCAAAATATTTCTGTAGGATCATGTGACACTGAAAACTGGGTTATTGATGCTGAAAATTCTCCTTTGCCATCACAGAAAAAAAAAAAAAAAATTCAAATTGTAATAATATTTCACAATATTACTGTTTTACAGTATTTTTGATCAAATAAATGCAGCCTTGGTGAGCATAAGAGATTTCTTCCAAAAACATTAAGAAATTCAAAACTTTTGAATGGTAATATTATATATATATATAAAAACGGTATATAAATATAAAATATGTGTGTGTACTGTGTATGTGTGTGCACACGTGTCTCAGCTTAGCAGACAGATGCCAGGGTCGATGAGGGGACGGGGGGGGGGGGGGGGAAATAATCTCTCTTTCAGCAGGAAACGGTCAGTGAGAGACCCCTGACACCTCTCTGATTAAGTGCAAGCTCTGTCACACACTCTGTGCAACTCAGGACTCACCCTGACAAAGATCCCACTGAGTGACACAAGCAGAGCTCAGCGCATTTAACATAGTGATGTCGGGCTGTGAAGGCTTTTCACTGTCTGTCCTAATAAAGCCAAATTAGATTCCGCTGATGATTTGAAAATGAAATCCACGAGGATGCTGACAGCCTGACCGACTGAATGACTGACTGGCTGTCTAAATGACTGACTGAATCAAGCCTTTCACATAGAGGTATTTATAGGTGAATTATTCTTGGAGAAGCTTATAGTGGTATGAAGACTAATTCTACAGATCAAAGACAATGTAAATGCAAGATTCCTTTATAGATTAATTTGACAGTTTGTATGCTAGAGCTATTTCTCATCCACAAATATCAGTACTCATTTTCTGAAAGAGAATGTTTTATTCCCGTTGCGTGTTAGCCTGTTTATCAGCTAATGTAATACAAATTTTCCCAGTCCATCAAAGGCCTCTTGTGATTTGAATCGGATCAGCGTGAGCGATTAGGTCATGGGCACAAAGTTGACATGCTTAGTATATGTTCAATTATAGTAAGGACTCTATAAATACTACTTAGCTTTAATGCAACAAGATACCCTCTACTTACTGGGGCCGAGCCATAAAGAACAGTTTAGGGAGCCATAAACGTTTTCATTATGTGTGTAGAGGAAATCTCCCGGTGCCTCATTTTTTGCCCTCTTTCAAAGGTAATGGGAGCAAAATGGCTGAAAACAATTTGTTTGGTCACAGCGGTTAAGTGAGTGTGTGGCCGTTTTATTAAATATCAGCCCACAGAATTCGGGTAACAACATTTGTCTCTTTGAATATAAACGTCCTGGGTTTGAAGTGCAATTAATATCCATCGAGGGCTGACGTCTAGTTTTTTCCACTTTAATCAACACAGACAAGGAACAAATTAATACAAATGTACTAAAAGCTCAAATTTGTATTATCTCTATATTTGTAAAATGGGTTACACTTTATTTTAAGGTAATGCTGTAACAGTGTAATAGACAAATACTGAGTAATATTAATTAACTAAATGGATTCGGTTTAGGGTTAGTTACTTAAAATTATGCATAATTTACTGTAGTAATGTAAAACTGCCACCTTAAAATAAAGTGTTTGCATAAAATGTATTGAATTTATTAAGAGCCACAGTTACTTGGCTTCAGATTACATTTGATCTTTGAAATGAAATCGAATTCTGTGTAATAAAATGTGGTGCACGGTATCCTCCTGAATCTATGAAGTTTTACCTGCTGTTTCGTTTTGCCATGTATGGCTTCTTGCTGAGCGCAGCCATGGGTTCTACACGTGGAACACATCAGCTACAGAAAAAAGCTTGCATTGTTCTGTGTGTTTGAAAGAACTGTGCTTGTTAGAAACACCAGAAATGTCAGTCAAAGTCTTAACAGGCATTTGCATTATTGAAGGTGTATTTTTACAAAATGATCTTTGTCTTCACAGAAACAGAAGTGCCATCACCCACCAGAGTCAATTCAGCTCCGATCCAAAAGGAACGCATCTCGTTCCGGGACAACCCAGTGCGACACAGTGGAGGCTGGGGTGGAGGAAAAAAGAGGGCCAAAGTGAACAAGTAAAAAGATAACCACATCAGCTTGTGTTTGTTGCACTGAGACAATATTGATTCAGTTTGTTCTTTTGTTTTCACCCTTCGTATTTGCGGCCGTGTATATATTCCGAATGTGATGGATGTCTTGTTGATGTAAGCCCTTAACAAGACTTACAATGCACATTTGATCTCCTCTGAAATTCCTTGCAGCTGCTGTTTTTACTAAAATCCAGCTTCCTCTTCTACAAATGAATTAGAAGCAATGGATGAGATATAGCCCAAATATCTGCAGGCGGTCACAGGATACGTATTGCTTTCAAGTATCACTCCATTTAACATGAGCACTGCGAGCCATGGAATGGGTGGAAACCATTTACAAATGACATGCTTAATATGCAGACAATGACAGGCAATAAAAACCAGCTTGTTCCTGTATTTAATTTACTTTTTTCTTTCCTTATACTGGGAAATTTGTGTTGTTCATAAAGCTCACTATAAAATGATGCACATTTAATGAAAGTAATATATCAAAGATCACTGTCAATACAGTATTTGGTTTGTACTCAACTTTTTTTTTTTAATCTCTGATAAAATGCATCTATGGCAAACAGTCAGAAGATAGGTGAAAAGAAATGCATACATTAGAGTTAGATGTTTTTTCTTTAGTGTTAGTGTAAGATTACAGATATTATCCTTCTTTCTGTATTTTAACTTTCTGGCACCAGCTCAGAGTTCATTATGTATGCCTAGAAATGATAAAATAGCTTAAATCTTGAGAATGGGGTGTCTTATTAGTGGGAGTTTTGGCATTGTGTTTGGATACGCGTCCCATTTAGAGTACAGTACATTTCCAAGTTTCCACTTTTGCTGAATCTCAGAATAACAGACTGAATTTGCAGACTGATGCCAGCAGGTAATTCATGCCAGTTGTTACCCACAGAAAACATAAGCAAACCCTGAGAGATAATCTTTTCAACTGCCAGCAAGAGCAGATCTGCATAGGTTAGTAAAACCCTTCAGAGCCATATAAAACCTATTTGTTTGTTTGGGTTTCTAATAGACTACGTTGTATTTAACTACCCAGGAACGCATTATAGGGAAAATAAATACTCATTGAATAATCCTTCACACTAAAATGAAAAGGCCTTTCAAACCAAATTTCACATTGCAAGCTCAATGCATCTGGGCTGACCCGAGCAGCTCAATCACAGCAGCTGGAAGAAGTGACTGTGGCCACAAACCGTTTATTATCATTTTAATTACTTAAGTGACTGCAAAGGCGTATGTACACAAACCCAGCTGACACTCTCATACTGAACTCTGAGTTTCACCAGAGATTCATTCTGTCTATAGTACATAAGAAAGAGAGAGAGAAACAGAGAGAGGCAATAAACAATGGCAAACATGTCATTGGCCTGAAAGCCTCATGTGGCCTTTACAAAACCATTAAAATGATGCAAGAATGTACCTTCATAATAGAGAAAATCGTCTATGGACCAATTTGACAGATATTAGTGAGATCCCTCTGTCATTCCGGGTTATTATTATAACTAAAACTAAAACAATTTTTTTTTCCATTTTAATGTATAGTTCAACTTGATGTACTAAAATGTATAAAAACTATAGACATATAAAAAAAACTTTATTAACAAAACAAAACAAAATTACGAAACGTTTACCTGAACATTAAATTAAAAGGAAAAATATGTATATAAAAATATAAAATGTAATTCAAAATATTAATAAAAACTATCAATGATACTAAAATATCACTGCTGTCCTTATATATTTGCTTTTTACATTATATTATATTATTATGTCATAAGGAAATGCAAGGATCCTATGGTGACATTATGAATATTGTATGTTATTAAGACTTCATATATTATGTTAACACGTTTGAATTAATAAGTAGTTTTTTTTTTAAATAACGTATTTTAAAGATATGAGGACAATGCCTGGATGCTAAAATAATAAACAATAATAGTACAAAAATAAAGACTCAATTTGGAAAACATTTAGGCTACCCATAATATTGCATAATGTTGTTTTTGTATTATTATTTGGTATTGAAAGGATCAAATGACAGATCAAGTGTTTTAAATACCTCATTGCTTTAATGTTCACTTATTTTAGTTGATTTTGGAGTATCGCGTGTATTTACGCGCTTAATTGAGTGAAATTAGACCGTAAGTAATATAGCTTCTTCTGCGCTTTCATCTGCTTTGCTTCTAATGCGCAGACAAAATTTCAACAAACCACACCGAATTTCTCACATTTTCCCCTCAGCAAGAGGTCCAAATAGAAGGTCATTTCAGAGCCTTAATAAGAAACCCCCCTGCTACTTAAGAGCACCCCTATTTATTTTCATTTTTTCTCGGCGTGGCACCATCAAACCCCAAGCATTGTAAGTGACCCTTAGATATGGCTAGCCTGGCAGGTGGTAAGGTTTGCTGGCAGAGAGAAGACGGTGATCTCTTACACACACTTTGGAGTGAGGGTGGTATCGGATGACGCCTTTCCTGTTTGAGATACAAACGTTAAGGTGGTCGCAAAATCATTTTGGTGCCGAGCTTTATAATCTCGCATCCAAAAATGACTCTTGCAAGTTGCAAATGCTTTCTGCGCGTGTCACAAATGTTGCTGTCGGGAATGTGAAGCTCTTCGTAGTTTGAGTTATCAGTGGATTTTGGATAAAGCCAAGTGTGCCAACTGAGCTTAAAAGTATACCGAACAAATGACTCTAATATGATAGTTTTTAATATCACACTTTTATTGAAAATAAAAATAAAAAACTATAACTTTTATCAGGCTTGATAATTTGTGACAATTAAAGCAAATGATCAGTTATATTGGACTTTGAAAGGATATGCCTTCAAATGGTGTGGAAAAAGTGATTATTATTATTATTATTTAGTTTTTTATTCAGGTCACATAGTCTGCATTTCTTCACGGTTGAGTTATATGAGTGTGACCGTCAGCAAGCGCTGCGTGCCGTCGTGATATTATTCGTTTTTTTTCGTCGTATTATTGATTGGAAGATTCAGATTGACGTTTCATGAGACTTGCAAACGTTTGTCGTGCCGATATAAATAACTATTAGAATAATGTTATAAGAATAAAAGTTATCTTTAAAAAAGTGCTGCAGCAAATGCCTGTTTACTGGTTCTCTAAAACGTATCTTGAAAATATTTAATATAGGCCTAAATAAATAAAGACCATATGGCTAGCCTGTCATCTTACTGGATTGTAAAAACGTTTGAAATAAGTAAAAAGTATGTTATAATTTCATCGAAAATGTACATTATAATAATATAGTATATTATTATATATAGTAATAGCCTATTTGAAAAATATTTCTAGGATTGTTTTATAAATAAAACGTATGATCACCTTAAAATCATTCATATAATAATATATAGAGCAAATAAGCTTAAACAATTTAATGACATTTACAGAACTGTAAAATAAATGTTTTTATCCCAAATGCCATAATGCGTGACTAGGCCTATATTTTTCTGGCAATAGCCTATGCGCTGGAACATTTACTGAATTAAATATTAAGAAAATTAAGTGTGCTATTTGCAGTGAAATACAGTTTTTTCTACAAAAGTAGAACGTTTCGGTGTTTTCCTCGTGATGTTATTTATTAATAACTTTATTCGTTTTATTAAATAACGTAAAAATGTGTCAAGCGTACATATGCTTTATAAAGACAACTTACTTTCGGCTAGTGTTCTTTTTAGCATTCATCCAACTTTAATATGATTAGTGAAATGCTTAATATTGTTTACAAATGGTTTAACACTTTAAATATCGCGCAATATATCTCCAGTCGGATTTAAATAATCATTAGAGATATCCAAACACGAAAGCGAAAGCAAGTGTAACTGTTTCATTTCGGGTCATCGGAGAGTTTCATAAATCTTATTTAGTGCTTGTGCGCGTGGGTGGAGTTTCACCTTCTCCATATTCAGAAGCTGGGTGGTTGCTTGAATCTCCCACTCTTTGCCGTATAAAGAGTGGCCCTCGGTCTCTTTAAGACAAGACAAATTAACGACTTGCACAAATAATTGGCTGCATTGCTTCATTTTTGACATCACTAAAACATTTATGGTGTCCATTGACGCTCTTCATGCTTGAGTCGAGGCCAGAGGACCATGATGGAGTACTTGAGCGACAAGTTCTCCTTGAAAAGTCAAGCGATTAAAGGCAGTGATTACTACATGGACCAAGTTATGGAGACTTTAGACAATGTGCCGTACTACAACAAGACATCACCGAAATGCGTCCAAGCCTTCTCGATGCAGAGCAATGAGCAACACAGCACGATGGACAGATCGTCTCCGTGTGACAACCGAAACAGTAAGTCTGGCTTTGAGAAAAATAAAAAAGTCCCCCCCAAACTTTGTAAAAGCAAACATTTTGTAAAACATTTAAAGATTCTTCCGTGTTTTTTTGCAACAAGGTTCAGTAACTAAGTTGCTATGTGGTTCTTAAATTAAGTTCTTAAAAGTTTCTTCAGGTCAATGCGTTCAGATCATTATAGCACCGATTTATGTGGTGAAAAGTGAAAATGTTATTTGTGTCATAATGTCCTCATGTGGCATCAGACTATAAAATCACGTTTTGTAATAACCTTTATTTTTATGTGTAAAACAAAATAGCCAAATAGAAGATAATTACCGGTTTTGCGTATTCTAACGATACATGTTTTTATTTTATTTCTATAGGACTATGGCTATACGTAAATAGCTTTATAAAAGATTATCTAAGAATTAAATGTGAAAAATACAGATTTAACCAATATTTAAATATTATTTAGGCTATATATATTTTTTTGAAAGGTTACAACTTTTCAACAATTCAAACGTTTGAATAATGTGTTGAGTTGTAATTAAAAATATAGGCCTAGGCCTAAGTTATGAACAAAAAACAGCGACAAAGTTGTTTCTTTTGTTCTTAGATATATTTTTAAGAAACTTAAACTAATTCCTTATAATTCTAAATAAACTTTTTTTGGCCTTTAAAACTATATTCTTCTAATTATCATTGCTTATTTATTTATCTGCTTATCGGTTAATGGGCTACTTTTGGAAACACTTTTCATTAAAAAGTAATTCGAAAACAATGTTGCAGATGAGTGATTTATTTTCATTCAAATAGCAATATGAAAATGAATGTCATTTCCCCCCTGATTGTAGGCTACGTGGACTAAAAGGCCCAATAATACAGGCCTATACATTCCAGCATTATTTATATAGAAATGAATAAAGTGTATTTAAGGTCTTGTTTTTTTTCTTAATTTTTTATAAACCCTGTGAGATCATCATAGCCTACGATGTAAAAAGTTTACAGCCTACAACTTTATTCCATGCAGTTTCTCTATGCTGAAACATTTTTTTTAAATACAGTTTTAGATTTAGTTTTAGATGCTGCTGAAACTGCAATTTTATGTCAACTACCTTTATTTTAATAATGATCACAGGCGTGAATTACTGCGCTCCAAAAACGGAGGACAGCAGCCTGCACGCGATGGAGAACTGCTGCAGTGTCAGAGTCTCTCCGGCCACAACCGGACCAGACAAAACGGAGCTGGACGACATCGGCGAAAAATGCGACAGCAACGTGTCGAGCAGCAAGAAGAGACGCCATCGCACAACCTTTACCAGCGCTCAACTTGAGGAACTCGAGAAAGTCTTCCAGAAAACACATTACCCAGATGTGTATGTGAGAGAACAGCTGGCCATGAGAACAGAGCTCACGGAGGCAAGAGTTCAGGTAACGGCTCACTTTCATTTGGATTCCCTAAAACTCTTTCGCTTTTTATTGATTTATTTTAGGAACTTCTCAAGAACTTAGGCCTTGTCTGAGAAAAACGTCATTATGTTTGAGGACATTTTACTCACTATAAAACATTCAAATCAAATTTGATTGCTCTGCATTCCTCAACGTAAACAAATAAAAAACAAACTATAACTGAAAACGTAACATGGATTTCAGCCTGAAATGCTGAAGTTAAAATGAAAGTGGTGGAATAACCTGTTCATTCAACATTTGGAACTCTTGGCGCTCGGCGTCACATTGTTCGACATGCAGGATAATCCATAGGCCTACTTTCAATGAGAAACCTATGGCGTCATATATAGACGCGTTGGGTATGGGAACGTTATCTGAATGATGAACGATGTGACGAGTTGGTTGAGAATGTGTTTGTTCATTGCGCTTTTTCAACCATTTTGAATTTAATAACCGATTAACAAAATCAAATTTAACCCTTGAAAACTCATGAAAAAGAAAGAAAATGAAATTGAGACAAATGAAATTATGAAAAATAAGATGCTGTCCTGATGAAAACATATTTACAGTGCTCACTAAAATATACAAAATAAAGGTTCCAAAAGGCGGGTTCAAATAAAGGTTCTTTATTGGCATTGATGGTTCCATGAGGAACCTTTAACATCCATGGAATCTTTCTTTATTGTGGAAAAAGGTTCTTTAGATTAGAACTATTTTTGGTTCCCCAAAACTTTCAGTGAACAGTTCCTAAAATAACAATTTTTGTATTCTTTGTGTAAAGAACATTTTAATAACCTAAAGAGCCTTTTTGCACTATACAAAACCTTTTTCAAATAACCATAGATACTAATAAAGAACTGTTATGTTTAAGAGTGTTTGTGTACCATGACGTTTATTACCTTTATTTAGTTATAGATATGTATTTGTTTTCAATCTAAACTTAGTAACCCTTATGTCACAATTTATGAATTTAATGTAACAGCCCTGTAATAAATTATAACTTAACATTTAATCACATTGTCAAATATTTCAATAAAAATAAATGGTAGCACTTTATTTTACAGTGTCCTTATTACACGTTACATGTAATTACTATAGTGATAACAGTAAATTATGCATAATTACATGTAACTAACCTTAAAACACAACCTAATTTTATCCATAATCCTATAGTAAGTTGCCTACATGTAGTTAATTATTGTAACTCAGTACTTACTCAGATTCATTCAATCATTAAACATCACGGAAAAATGACGGTTCCTCTTTCTATTCAAGGTATGGTTCCAGAACAGAAGAGCCAAGTGGAGGAAGAGAGAAAGATATGGACAGATCCAACAGGCCAAAAGCCACTTTGCAGCAACCTATGACATATCAATGCTGCCCCGGACAGACAGCTACTCACAGGTGATTTACTTATTTGTATAATAATAATAATAATAATAAAAATCATCTAATGCATGGCTGTTAATTAAATATGCATCAGCATAGAATTGGCAACCCTGTATTATTGTTCTGCACTGTTTGAATTTGGTTTTGCACTATATGTCTCGGAAGTAATCACCTATTTGTCATACATTGTATAAGTAGATTTCACGATCTTTATATATATATAAAAAAATTATTCAAGGTGACAGTATTTATTGATCTGATTACAAAATATGACTGAAAAGTCACAAAACATTTGACGTAATTTCAGCAAATAGCATATGGTCCTTACTGACCCAAACACAAAGCATGAATTGTTGACATGAGGCATAGCCTTTAGAGCTTGGATCTGTTGTGACGGGTGAGGGTGGGCGGTCAGTCAGGCTGCAGAGAGCCGTCTCACGGTAACTGACAAAACCTGTTGGGAGGACAGGAGAGGAAGATTTACATGGCACCGCGGGACCTCAATTTCCTTCATCCGAGAGTAGATTCCTTACTCATGCGTTTTCCATAGTCTTATAAAAAAAAGCCTCTGCCTTAATTTGACATTACAGCAGGTCCTTATTGCACCAGGCATGTTGTAAACCACACTGCAGGGCTTGTGTTTGTCTTATGCCCATGACATGTGTACACTCAGATTTTTGTGGTGAACACAGATGCATTTTTGTGGACTGCAGGGTTTGTTTTTAAAAGCCTGGTCTGGATTCATTTAAAGTCTTGGACATAATCGTCACTGTATTTTAATGCAGATTGAGGGTGTATCTGATATGATGTCATCAGTTTATCAGAAACTTTTCCCAGGCACACAAAAATGCATTGATTTATGTTTTAAAATTTAATTAACTTTCCAAATCGGAATCTATATTGATGTGCCATGAATGTTCAAACATTTGGTTTTCTTTATTTTGATGATTATTCAAGCCTGTTGTTGTTTTTTTCCATCTCCATTTCATCACATGTACCAAACAGTGTTTTTTTTGTCTCACATTCTCCGACCACACAGATTCCCAACAACTTATGGACAGGTCCCGCTCCAGGCAGCTCCGTAGTGTCATCCTGCATGATCCCGCGAGGTTCCCCTCCCTGCGTGACATCACCCTACCCCAACTCGCCGAGGGCCGCTGAGCACGGTTACGTGGGCTTCCCCAATCACCAGCAAAATCAGTTTGGAGTTAATCACGTGTCTCTCAATAACTTCTTCGCCGATTCACTCCTGGCTCCTTCACCGAACAGTCACGCCGCGTTTGAGACCAAACCCGAGTTTGAACGGCGGTCCTCCAGCATTGCTGTACTGCGCATGAAGGCTAAAGAACATGCAGCCAACATAACTTGGGCCATGTGAACTCTGAACTTAGTCTAATAGTCATGATCGGAACTGTTTTTGCCTAATAATAATAATAATACAGTCAGTTACTTTCATGAAATAGTGGCTGCCCAGTTTATTACTTTTTATAGTTTTTATTGGAACAGCAAAGATTTCAGCCCGTGATTATAGACATTTAAAAAATAATAATTTAATTCAAAATCTCTGAATAGTGTTTTTCCTTCTTTTGTTTAAGCATCTCTTGTTGTCATGAATATGAAGGGCGCAGAACTCAACAGTATTATACTCTCATGACATTAACAGAGAGGTTATGGCTGACATACTAACAATATGTCTGTGTGCTTTGCAGCAAAGCTGTATTAAAGCTCTCTAGCTGTGGCTAGTCTGCAGTGCCACATGCAGAGGAGCACATTTTTTTATTGTATGGAAATAAAAGTTCATTCAAATAAGCAATGTGTTTCCATTTTTGTTCACTCTCTTAGCTCCTGCTCTCTTTTGATAAAACATGATTCACCAATAGATTGTCATTTTGAATCATATTAGCTGCCTTCAAAAAATGTCATGAGTACACATTTGTAACACTCTTTTGTTTTCAAAGTTCAGTCTTTTGTTGTTTTATTAATTTAACCGTTCAAAAATGAACCGTTAACACTACCGTTCAATTTAAAATCATTTTTTTATATATATATTTTTTAAAACAACAACTCAAACAGTTGTGTACGTTTTTGGCAATTGTTTGTATTACAATTATGATATTATATTCGTGTTTCTGAGTAAATTGACAAATTATGCAGTGCTAAATAATTTTCTGGTTTAGTACTGATCCTTTTTCAGCTTCTCTGTTGACAGTTACATATTTCTCCTTTTGAGACTAACACAACTTTACCAAGTTACTCAACTGTTTGTGGCTTTTGCCAAATAAACAACCTCTTCCTTTTCATTATTGTTCTCATGTTTTTTATCCAAAAGTTTGTAAGTTTGTTTTGGCTTTTTCAATTTTTTTATTTTATGACTTGATTGATAAAACTATTAGTAGCCTATTTTGTATTGACTGTTGTAGAATGAACCTTTGTTAATATTTTGTATACTTCGACCACTGGATCTCAAACCTTTTTGATTTCAAGGCAAGTTACTGCGTGTCTGTCCACAACAATGTTTGAAGGCTCCAATGACTCACATTATTTCTACCCGATAAAATATTTTAGAGCTTGGCATAACTAGGAAGATGTATGATTGTTATAAAAAATAACCAAATAATAAGAATGATCTTGATTTGTTTTGGCTTATTTTCATGTTTGTGAACGACTAAAAATGCTGTATTATGCATGCCAGGCCAGTAGTTGGTGATGTCGCTTTGTAAAGACACTGAGCGCCTCCACTTTTTTTTTCAGGTAAGAGAGCGGGCGTTATTTTAATGTGTCTGGCTTCTGGTGTCATTCGCTTCCCGTTCTTTTTAGCTGTACAAAACAGCTTGTTATGCTGCTTGAAATTGCAAACTGGTATCTTACCATATTATTTTAATGTAGTGTCTTAATTATAAACACGCTAGTTTGTTGCGCAAACGGTTTTACAGTTTACTGCACTTCGATATATTCTTCTCCTTATTTCCCTATAGCGGCTAATAAATCGGAAGTCTCGCACATTCACAGAAAGAAAACACCATGGGCCCTATTTTAACGATCTGAAACGCAAGTGTCAAAGCGCAAAGCGCAAGTAACTTTGTGGGCGGATCCCGGCGCTGTTGCTATTTTCCCGGCGGGATAAATGCCTCTTGCGCCTGGCGCAAATCTAAAAGGGGTTGGTCTGAAGTAGCTTCATTATTCATAGGTGTGGTTTGGGCGTAACGTGAAATAAACCAATCAGAGCGTCATCTCACATTCCCTTAAAGAGCAGGCGTGCTTGTTCTAAACATAGACATTATAAGAAGTGGACAGAGCCATCTCACTGGAACTCAGTTGAGACAGTTGAAGCCCATTTTTAGCGATTTTTGAGCACTTCCGTTCCTGACGCGCAGACTCAAACCGACTCAGACTAAGCTTGATGACGTGAGCAACCTGTCTGACAGACGTTAATCTTCTAGTAGCTGTGCGTGAAAATTGCCAACGTTAATCTTGCAGTGACGGGGAACTTGAGCAAAGAGTTCTTTATCGTGAGTGATTAGGAGTAAGAATTCCGTTGCTTTCATGGACTCATTATCTATGGGCTTCTCCCTTGAAGGGACGTCCCCCCGATTGCCTGCGAGCTTCTCTTCCTGTCTGTACGGTAATTTCTGTACAGCGCGACAGAGAGTCGAGTGGTTATGACGCAATCGTTAGCCTATTTTTACTAAATCTGTTTCTATGGGGCCATAATGTAACATAGAAGGTAATGGAGCCCTTTACACATTGTCGTGTTTCTTTAGAAATAAATAATGGACAAATGGAGTCTTTAAACGCCTCAGATGTAAAGTTATTCGCTGTCAAAGTGACGCCAAAATGAATGGGAGTCAATGGAAATGCTAACGCAAGTGAAGTTCTGCTACAACATGGCGGAACCCGGCCGGCTTCAACTTCCGGTCGATGGATTACCCCCTTGGTTCTAAAGCGGATTCCTATTATAACGGCGGATTTGCCAGGCGCGCGCCAGGAGTGGTTCACAGCCGAGGAGACCGACGTTCTCGTCAGGGCCGTAAAACACAGAGAAGTGACATTGGGGATGGAGAAACCCACCCAAATTAACTTCTGTTAAACAGGCGTATGATAATTTGGGTAAATGTGTAAGCTACATGTATGCTTTTATAATAAATTGTCTATCTATCTATCTATCTATATATCTATCTATCTATCTATCTATCTATCTATCTATCTATCTATCTATCTATCTATCTATCTATCTATCTATCTATCTATCTATCTATCTATCTATCTATCTATCGTAATAATGTATGATTTGCAAAAATGAAATCTGCTGCTTAGATGAGAGAATCAACGTGTATGCGCGTTGTGCACCCGCTACATTGATTATGGCCAAACATGCGCGCTTAAAATAGCATAATGAACAACGCGCAACGCGCCACTGACTTTAGACTAGTTTTTTTCTGGTCAGTGGCGCAATTGTTTTATAGAACAGCAAAATAGCATGAGGGAAAGTTTGCGCCGGAACACGCCTCCTCTTTGCGCTGAACCGCCCCGGGGAGCGCAAGTGTATTTCTTAGTTAACCGACGTGTGTCTGTGGAGGGAAAAGTCCGCTTTGCGCGGGTGCAAAATAGGAATGATACATGCGTCAGTGTACAAAGTCATTTGCGCAGGGTGCAAGATAGATCGTGTCGAAAAATAAGGTGGATAGACTAAACATGTAGTAGGCCTACGCATGCGCATGACATCACCGCTTTCGTGCGTTGTTTACTCAGAGAAATAATGGTATCGTTTTCAAAAACGTACACTTTGAAACTTACTTTAACCCTCTGGGGTCCTTCGGCCCAAATGGACCCGAAGCATTTAAATAATAATAAATAAAAAAATCATAGCTTTATCGGAATGGTCCGAAATTTGGTGACTTTGTTGGTACTTGGTATTTGAACAGGATTTGAATAGTCTAAGTGGTTGTAAAAAAAATAGTCACACTCAGGACCTTCGGGGTCCAAATGGACCCGCATAGGAAATGAATGGGAAATTGGCAAAAATGTGAAAATACAGAGTTTTTTTGTGCGTACAATCTACAAATCAGCCACAATCCAGAAAAAAAGCACACAACAGTGAAGGGGTGAATCTATAAAACATCAAGAGTGCAAAACAGACACACACACACACACACACACACACAATAAATTCAGATTACATATGGGTTTTGAATTTTTAAAATGCTCAGTTTGTCCACCAGATGGCATCCATCTCATTTCAAAAATTGCTTTCATGAGGCCTAGGCTTGACTCTAAAATGAAATACAGCTTTAAAATTTTTTTTTTTTTTAATTTAATTTATATAAGTTCTATTATATTCAATGGGGAAAAAATGGGTCATAATTATTGAATTAATATTAATTATAAATCATTTTTATTTTTGAAATGATCTCAAAACACCAAAAAAGAAAAGAAAAAATATTATAAAAAACAAGTAAAAAAAAGAAAAAAAAAGATGATTTTTTAAAAATAAATATTAATCCCACCCTTCCGGCCCATTTGGACCCGAAGGTCCTGAGTGTGACTCTGAAATGAAGGACCCCAGAGGGTTAAAAAGTTTCCGTTTTCAGGGCCCCAAAATAATAAAACACATAAAAAGTTTTTCGTTTTTGAAAACGGTATTGTGTAAACGGCCTCTTAGACTGTAATCTCTGTATCCATCTCTTGGTCACTGGTCTATAATTTCTCTGAATCCACAGCTTCACTGTAAGACTGATGGTGCACATGTGAGGCATAAGACAAGTCTGCTGCAGATGAGCTCAACCAGCAGGCCGAATGGGTTTGACCCTCCGGGGTGAGCCACGCTCATTAATAAAGACCCTCACACGCTTGGGGGAGTGAAACATGCGGAAGAGAGATGTCTCTGCTGCCCAACACTCCAGACCTGCAGATGGGAGGGGAAAAAATCCCATTTTAAAACACTATGGATTACAAAAATGTACCATGCATTAATTATTTCCCCTTTAATCAGATCAAATCAAAATATATTTCCGGTATTGTGATTGTTTTGAAAAAATGATTTGGCCATATTTACATTTGCACTCACAATTTAGTAATATAATATCATTGAAAGGATGCTTTGTAATTCACTAACCAGTGAACACATAAAGAATAGAAACGATTTGGCTTTGTACAAGCAGGCATGAATTTTGTGAAAGATATTTAAAAGATAAGCTGGCAAGAGCAATGGCAAAAACAAAAACAAGGCACACAGGACTTTGTGTGGAAAGTGATGTGATGCCTCCTGTCCAACAGTTTATGCCTTGACTTTGAATGGCTCTCCTCTAGACGACTCATAGAGTTTCCGTGCCCTGTATCCTTGATGGACATTTTTGGCCCAACTCTGCAATCAAGCACAATGTGGTCTTTATAATTACAGTATGCATGTAAACACATTTGTATTCCTTGTGGATAGTTTA